AAAAAAAATGTACCATTCTATTTAAAAAAAGTGACGGTGACCTTCACTGTGCATCAACGCCTCCATAGAAATAAAAAAAAATTGGTCGCATTTGAAGGCCCCCTCGATACCGTACAACTTTTGTCTGGAACATTTTTTTGTGACGTCGATAATTACCGAGATAATTAAGGTGGTCAAGTTAGGTGAAACACCCGGTATATACGGTGATGAAGTCGTTATTTTTATTCAGAAAAACAGTTTAGCCCTTCTATTATTTCTTTTGAGGATAATATAAATGCCTTTTATTAAAATTTTCGTTTATGTAATCTCTAATATTATAAATATAGATTTATCAACATTTTTATATAGTCTTACTTACTTCTGCATCCTTTGAATTCAAAAGTTCTTGCAGTTGAACGCATTTCTCCTCGGCTTCTTGTAATTCTTTCGATCGTTCGTCTAAAAACAGGAAATGTAACAGAAATGCAAGACACTGATATACATTTAATACCCACCAATGTTTTTCCTTATTTAACTCTAATTTACATTGAAAAGTTAATTGCTGAATATTAAATTTATTCAAAACATACATTTATAGAGATCCAAAAATGGATACTTGGATTACTGAGTTCAAACTGTGTTGTATAAAATGTTTAAGTACAAATTATGTTAACAATGTAAATTTAAAACTGTACATCTTGATTAGAGTACCTGTTAATGTATCAGTAGAACCTAATACATAGTGGCTCAAAATAATTGTTTGGCAATATGACTGTCAGGAATTCACCCTTTGAATATCTATAATTGTTATAGAATTTGAAATCAAATTGGACCAGTTTATATACAATGTATTTGAGAAATAATAAGATAAACTAAAACAAAATTTAATTTGCAATCGAGGAACAATAGACATACGAGAATTTTCCATTTTTTTTCAAAATAGTAGGCTAACTTCACGCAGGTCAGATACGAGTATAAAAGTTACTCGATCGGTAAAACAGTTTATTATTTTGACAGTCGTCAGTAAGTAATACTTTAACCTATATTAAAAATTCTATTGACGTAGAAATTAATGGTATTGAAAAGAACAACGTACCTATTTCCTCGACGATGCCTTCTGAAAGTACTTCCTTCGTGAAACTGGTAATCTGGCCCTTCAAATTCGACAGACTAGACAGTCCGTCCTCGAACCACGCCATTTTCCACGTCGACACTTTATATACGATAATCACAACACAAGATATTCTAATCAACACTCAATGGACGGCATTTCTAGAGAGATTTTCACTTTTTAATAATGAACGTGATACAAAAATACCAATAAAAACTTCTTGATACACGAAGAAATGTACACAATCCGTCGAGTTGAGCAATGATGACAACGACACGGCAAAAGTTACTAGACTCTACCAGAATACCGTCTTGCGTGGCAATCAGTGTCACAAGACTAGACGAATATAATGACAAATTCCATTTCATGAGCCCATAAATATATTTCTTTAATCCTCATTGCGTTTAAGTTACCTGCCAGCTTGACACTATGACTATAATTCTAAGGAATCGTTGTATAGAATTTAAAATATACAGTTTCAGTGTTATCTTACCAACAGGACATAACCGTAGGAGTACAATACTACAATAAGTTCACAGATGGCACCAGCGGTGTCAAATATTTCAGCGGTAATACAGCAAAGTTATCGACAGAAAGAAAGACGTTCTTTGAAGTGATAGCAGCTTTAAATATTTATTGAAAATACAAATTGTTCTGCTCATCAAATCGAAAATAAACAAAACTTATTAATCCTACATTCTGTTTTATAATAAGTAACAAAAGTTCTCGTACATCTGTGCGTACTTGAATTTGATTTACAAACATTATATTATTTTTAATATTCCATATATTATTATTAAAAAATCGAAACAATGATTCCAGTAAATTCCTCATCAATCTATCAGAAATAGCAAGGATAATTTTATAAAAATATGTAGAAGAAATAGTTCTAATAGAAAAATACAAGTTTCTGATTGACGCCCACCTGTTCCTCAGGACACCTGCTATATTCAGTTTCATTTCTTACACGAATACTCAGCCTCCTGGGTACATTAACGTTTATCGATAACAAGGTGAGAACCTGCTTTAACTGCATCAGTACAATGTATAAACTATTTAATACAAACGATAACTTCAGAGTCAAACGTAAATCTTGAAGCAGTCTCTATACGTATAATAATGACATAAACCGATAAACGGAGCAGACTCAAAATCTAGCTACCATTCTTTCCACTCCTTATTCATCGTTTAAGCTTCAATAGTTACTAACAAAGTAGAACAGCCGTGAAGTCGCACCAAGTATCATATTTTTTATGGTAGGCGCCTCTTTTTCAGTCATGTGTATCGAAGTATTAGGCAGGCCGGTTGGCACGAGGCCGCGCGCTCCTTACTGAAGGAAGGTGAGTAGCACCCAAGAGAGGGACGAACGCTTTGCTATGCTATGCTTAAAATCAGTAGCGTAGTTATTCGCTGCACGACCCCGTTCAAAAGGACACCATCAAACACTTAAGCACTGGTAGAAAATCACGATGAAAATGTCAAAATAATCGAATCGCATGACAGAACTAACGCACAAACAATACCTATTAAAAACATGATTAATATTAAGCATAGTTTTCGTATCATCCAAATATATTATAGAATAAATTAAAATTGTATAAATTTATTATAAAACAGATCACGTAGAAATTCACTTTTTCTCAACTCTCTTTCGGTACAACAAATTCATCCGACCTACTATATTATTCTATGTTATACATATAACTTTCTATACTGACTTTCATCCAATGTGCTCTAAAACGGTAATACATTTTTTCTATGTATCAGAATTATACAATATTTTTTATGGCATATATATTTTTACGTCAAAACTTTATACACATACGCACCTATGAAGTGCCTCAATACGTTACATCACTGGGCATGCTATCACGATTAACAGAGTGAACAGCATGAGGCGTTCGAGCGGGTAAGCGAGAGAGAATGCGAAGCGAAGGAAAGGTAAAGGAAACGAAAGGAAGGCGGACAAGGTAAAGGCATATCTGAATCCTCGGCTTGACTCAGCTCAGTCTGATCCGAGCGAAGCCAGTGGCCTGAGCGGCTACCGCGAGCACACGCTCTTCTCAACGTATCGGTTGTGCTACGAAATCTGAACAGTTAATCACAGTCATTATCATCATTCTTGAGCATGACCATTAGCTTTCACCTTCGATACGGATAATTGGTGTCACGTAGACACACAGAGGAAATCAAATTTAGTCAGAGAAAAAGAACCTACGAGAAGACGCAAAAGAGAAATACACGGGATCCCTTGACATGTCACGGGATACATGTGCGGAATTCGTTTAAAATTCGTTTAAGAGGTAACAATAATCGGATATAAGATCCCTTATATCGTATTTCTTGATCGTTATATGCGAGTGATGATAAAACAAGGAAATTCAAGGTATACCAGATGATTTCGTGGAATCGATCCGTTTAATTGAAGATCCCGAGAAAGGTACGTATCCTGTCTATGTTACGTGGATATTTATGGTGGTTGCCTACGGGAAACTTTTCTTTGAGAATTACGGCAATTAGCGATCCTCCTTCAGTGGGAAATTAGTGCGGTATTTTCCCATTAAGAACGCCTTTGCCTGTACAGTGTCTATACCGAGAGAAGAACCGAATAACAATGATTACGGTTAAGCGAGCTGGATTTCTTTTGTTCTTTTGCTTTTTTTTCTCTTACTTTTTTTCTTTACTTCGCTTGGATACGGTATCATTACGGACTGGCGAAATGATTGTATCATTTCTTTCCGTAGAATGCTGATCATGACTTACGGATATTATCAGACGTTGTTCCCCATAGACATGCAAGAGCACGAACTTCGTGCGGTATTGAATTTAACCTCAAATTCACGGCGATCGCGATTGTCAAGTTAATTTACGATGATCTTCAACAAGGAGTTTATTGTTTTACTCTAACAAGTAGATTATTTAGTCCTGACGGAAAGCGTGGGTTCGGTTGTCAGATGAAACATATTGCTCGACGGTTATGAAAGTGAAATAATGTGAAAACTCGAGACACAGTGGTTGTTATTAATTTTCATAAATTTGCCAAGAGATTTCCGTCTAGCAATTATTCGAATTTCTCTGGGGCATCCATATGCAAATTGACGAGACAGCCGTTGGAATAAAAAGTATTTGCAAATCTTCCACGGAGACGTACCGAGCGAACTGATAACTGTTTATTCAAAGAATCAAGTGGACTTATGGTAGTCAAATAAATATTCGATATCAAATATACCATCGGGTGGAATTGCCACCGATCCAAGTTTTCTCAAGTGCGTCCTTCAGGAATTGTCGAGTGATTTCTTTACAAGTCGAATACCCGAGGCTATTCGAATCTTCGGTATTCAAAACTTCCCTCGGGAATGCAAAGCACGAGCCATTAATTTTCTTAGCGATTCGCAGGACGCAGAAATGTAGGTATCGTGTCTATAGGCTTGATATATTACACAGTGAACAATGTTACCTGTGACTTTTATTCGAATTCAACTTAACTCCGTGCTTTTGAATGTCGACTGACTGTTACGAGCTTTGTGGCTGGAGACAGTGCATTATTACGCACAATGGAAATAGTCACGTATAGATAACACGAACTTCTATTGTTATCCGAGCCTCGCGGGCATGTAATTTAATGCTGTTCCGCGTCGATTAAAGCTCAGCAATTTTCATATAGAGATACTGGTGAAATAATAACTTCTAAATGTTACACGATATAATTTTGTCCAACACAGAACAGTGTCCAACAACTTACATGCCACACCCGGTTAACACGACTATCTTAAATTGTTACTGTCGAACAAGGCGGTCGAGATAAATCGATCGATAACGAAAAGGATATTTTAACTAGTGGACACTTATGCGTCCGTGTGGCCTATAGTGGGCACAGGAAGTCGTATGTACGTAATATAGGAACTATGAGCCTAACGGTAAAGACGAGTAGCTGACTAGCACCGAGTTACGCCTAACGTGTTATACCATACGTTATAAAATCTAATCCGCAATTCAAATGGAAATAGAAGCGAACGATGGGCCCGCGGTATCTATATAAAATGATAAACGTGCACTCGAAACCTTGATTAGCAAATCGTCCAAAAGAAGTCGAAGAACCTGTCGCGAGAGCAATCAGTAAAAACAGACTTCCTCGTTCTCTTAGTTTTATTTGTCCAATACCTTCCACTCGAGTACCGCGTGGAATCCACGGCTGCCCAATTCCGAAATACATTGACCCCATGGACGTATAGTAAGAAACAGGTAAAATTAGTTTATCGTATAGCATTAGCGCCTGGAGTGACATTAAATTCTTTTTATACCAGGTGTCAGCATAATTTTCCAATAACGTGCATTTGGCGTGACGCTATTACAGCTAAGCTTGACTGGAGAATTATATAATATAGATAGCAATTTTTTTTTTCATTTTCAAATGCAATATTTAAATTCGTTACTAATTCGGAAGCATTTTATGCTCGGTAGGTGGGCTCCGTTAAAGTGAGCAGTAGTGGCGCTCATTAGTCTTATAAATTATTACAGTCAAGAATTAAATTGTATTAGCAAGCCGATGAAACTATTACCAATTACAGCTTGTTATTTTACATTAATTAATTACCTTCCTCGAATCATTTATTTTACCGTATTTATCCTCGTATACATATCCATTCAGTTTTCAGTCTTAAATATCTGGGCAGCCTCCGCGTTACGTAGGAATTGCATTACACCTTATATGTCAATTGTCTACTCGCATCAATCTCTCGTCGAGACGAAGGAGTCTCTTCGTCATTAATAATATTGAAAAAGGGAGCTGAAAAAAAAAAGTAAGGAATGACGAAGAGCATGGCTTCCTACGTGGTTCTCCTATAGATCAATAAGAGTATGAAAAAGACCTTCTTTATAGAATGATATAAAACGTATCTTTTATCTCCTTTCGTATTCACAAACCAGCCCGCTCGAATACTCACCCGCTGAGGTCTTCTTAGCAGGGCAAGAAGGATATGATCAAAAGTGAAAGATAAACGGTCAGATCAAGTTTTCCTTTCGACGAGCACACGCCGTTAGAATATTGACTAGGTCTTGCTGGCTGTACATATATACAGTCAGTCACCATCATGAACCACCTACGTAGGGGTACGACACTGATTGAATTACCATGCGACTGCTTTTCAGGATGAACAGAAGCACCGAGAGGGTTAAGTGACGAAGCTGAGTGGAAGGACCGGATAAAGGATACCAAAGGAAGGTAGAGCAATGGTGGTCGAGTGGCTGTGTCCCGGTCTGAGGCCGACCGGTAGCCGTAGACCTCGACTCCTACACTGCAAAGTGATCCTCCTCGACGAGCACGAGCTACTCCAGGACGTGCTGGTAAGCCCGAGATCCATCCTGACTCTTAAGATCCTCTCTAAGAAATTATTCTCCATTAGGGCATTGAGTTACTCTCATTCGACGCTCCTACTACGATAATGACGTGGTTCTGACGTGTAATGGGCCCTACGTTAATTGTGATAGCCCTGAGCTCCGGTCAGTCGACTAGACTAGGTGGTCCCAGTGTTATGTTCCGGTCGGGTTGCCTATGAAACACAGAGCCAGGATCCCATTCATCAGCAGTCAGTGGGCTGCGGTAAAGCCTGCCTTATGTATCTGCAGTTTCTATTCTCCTCGTTCTTCATTTTGCCGAGTGCACGAGACAAACGTGCTCCCTACCGTTTTGACTCTCCAGGATGCACTGCCAATGAGTCTTACTCTTAGACGGCGTTGCTATCCTAGATCTACACTGTATATATCGCATAAAATACGTGTATCTCGACTGGCTTGGAAAATCGAAAATTGCCGATCGTAATAACACACCCTTGTAAGTACATCGGTCTTAATAGAACGTTTATAGGCACAGGCAGATTACCGGCATTATTGCACCATCAGTTAATCGGATATCCAAGCGATCCAGCGTGGCCGTGGCTATCGAGATGAACCCTGGCTAGCTGGCACGCACTTGGCCCAAGGCTTGTATTTTATGCTTTTCACAACTTTTCACAAATTCAGTTAACGCTTTTATCGTATAGCTATATATTATAGTCCTGATGACCGACTAGATAGGATTTTCAAGGCGACACGCAACGTCAAGGCAGGGCTACTGGTTTACACGTAAATCCCGGTTCTCTTTGATGGACCATTAAGCGCACGCAAAATTAGCTGGAAGCTTCGGGGAACTCGGGGAATGATACCCTGTCGATGCTCATCGGAATGGGATCGTATGGGAAGGTACATTCCATAGAAGTTTACTTGTGCTTTGGAGGCTTCCTTCGTTTAAACAAAAATTTCAGGTGCCTCTTGCGTCTTGTGTAATCTGATTGCTACGCAATAATCACATGTTACTCCTAATCAGGCTGTTTTTACTCTGTCATTTGTTTCGTGCCTAATTATACTATCCGCCCGCAGTGTACGCTTTAGATTGTTCGGTTCGTGTTCAAATGCCACTCGTGAACATCAGTTGTTCGTCTCTCCTCACGAACAGTGAACACGACATCTTGCAAAGAAGAATCGGACTACACCAGCTTGTGCATAGATTTCATCATTTTACCATTAACCCTTATAAAAGGATCTTTACGGAGAAAAGCCTTCGGTAGTGAATTTCTACTGTACAGCAGATCTAATTACAAACTACCAACAGCAAAGTATCCATGATTTTGTATCTTCTTGCGCTTATCTATCCATGGTGTTAAATTGCATTCGGACTTTGACAGTTTCGTTAATACAATATATAGTATAAAGCTATGATTCTAATAAATATGCAAAGTGGCCTAAACGTGCCAATTAAATCTGTTCTCCTGTATTCTTCGGGAGACCCTCAACGTTATTCATCATGGTGAATCCTTTCTTTGAGAAAGCTTTGAACACGCAAGGTCTATGACGGGTCTCGACATAAACGGGAAGTGCTCTCGTTCGCTGGTATGGTGGTCAAGGGTATAATGTATATCGTTAATGCAGGCTACAAGTTATAATTTTACGGATTAATAATATTTAGTTCCTCAGCGGGGTCCGAGACGCCGGGGCCTGTTCGAAACGAACGATTTGCCGGGGGCTATACGGTGGTCTATGGTTGGGATACGGTTGGTATATGGTTCGAATATGGTTCGGCTATCCTTTGCCTGCAACAGTTCAGCCAAGACTCAACTCGACTCAACTCAGTTTGGTTCTCCTCTGTTATTAGGCGATATACCAAAATTGGGGGGCCCAAGGCACCCTACTAATTCACGCGCCTCTTGAAGCCTTTGCGCAGGAACTGGCGTCGTCTCGCCTCCAGTAGATTACGTATCATAGGTACCGAAATTCTCTGCGTGTATATACGTATGCCGTGCCATCGTCCGGCACCGTCATTAAAAATGAGAAAATTATTGCCTAGATGAGCTTGCGCATATCGTACCAGGAATCGTTGGATCTCCTGATAGGAAGTTGCCATTCACTTCTATCCCCGATTTGCTAGGTGAATTATTCGACGAAATCGTTTCAAGCCCCATTGGCTTCATGTGAAATTCGGAAGGATCGATTTGGATGGGATCTCCCAATGCCTGAATAAATATTTATTGATAAGGTAAAGTAACGTTTTAAGGCGATCGCTGTATACCTATATGGGATCGTACCGCTCGCAAGGCATCATGGGGGAAAAAAAAGATGGCCGATTCGAAAGTTTCCAGTCGATTCATAACTTATCAGTCTTGTATTTCGAGTATACGAAAGTTTTGTGGAAAAGTTTTACGGGAATGACAACGGAAAAGCTAGCTCAGTCTGCTTGCTAGTTTTTCCTTTTTTTTTTATGTCATTTTAGTTTTCCATTTTCATTTACTCAATTCTATCTTCCCTCCTGCGTCGTACGACATCCATGCAGTTTAGGAAGTTTAAGTGATTACTTTCCCTCCGAGGGACTTCTATCAGGAAGTTATTGCTGCATATACCGAACGGTGTTCTAGTAAGTGCTTTCGATTATTCTTCATGATCTTCCGGTTCGTGCTGCCAATTACGGGGAAATTACTTGCAGCCCGTTAGGAAGCTCCTTCTCGGTTCGCTTTGCATCCTCGAAGCGTGTCGTCGAATGAATTATTTCACGCTATCGGTAAAGTAAGACTCTTCGTTATAACCCTCGTAATTCGTTACACGGTTATAGAACCAGTTCTGCATAACTCCGATGAAAAAGATGAAAGATGGATAAATATATATAAGTTGTGCGTCAACATAATGCTAACCGGGTAAACGTAACCCTTTCCGGCAGAACCAGATATGCACCTTATACGTCGTCATGATTACGTCCAGCCCAAAGGATTAGCTTATTATTTACGGATCCTTAAGTACGTGCGTGAGGTATGGTCTAACTAGCTTTCCTGGCAAGGCAAGTAATGTTTCTTAAAAAGAGATTGCCCATTCAATTGCTTATCCCGTACAGTGAGAAAAGGGCTCTTATTTAAGTTTCTTATTATTCAAAGAATAATTATTAAGTGCATCCTTATGAACTTTTATGGGAAAGAAACGTAAACCCTATCGCGCTGTACATGTCCATTATTTCATAACTGAACCTGTATGTCTACACGTTAACGCTTCTGGCACGGGCAATTACAGAGATACCGTCTCTATGCCCGCGCTATTGCTATATCGCCGGAAGTTACTAGGAAACAGTGAGTTCTGAGCGATGGTTAATGCTTGTGGATTTAATAGACTTAGCGGTACCCTCGTTAAAATAGGCTTTTTTTCAATATCAGGCTAACACAATCGATCCATGGAATAGCCGGGTTCGATTCCCACGACAAACATGGCTAGCGGCTAAGGAGCAGCGAGCAATGCCTAAATAAATGCTTTGCAGCGTAGAAGTATGAAAAATGAAAGAAACCACTGAAATCGTTCGGCGCACGCAACCTAAAGATGATTACCTACCTACCTTCTGAACCCACGGCTTACTCCTTGGCCCGAGGCCAGACTCTTCTTCTTAGTTGCCCTACACTTTTATTGCGCTCTTCGCTGCGCCTCGCTTTTAATTTCATACCGCGTTTGTTACCACTGCCGCGGAATTGCTATGATGAAAAACATAATATCAACTTTTCTCGTTAATATCAGCAAACGTCTCTATTATCCCAACATTTTATAGGCACCATGCTACGTGAAGGGTTTGACAAAAATTAAATAAATTTCTTTGTAATGATAATCTACCCAGAGCCTTGTCTACTTGTCGTGCTATATGTATTCCACTCTGATAACGTCAAACGTAGAGATCCTTTACGTGGGGACTTCTACGAGGGACTTTTACCTTTACTATACGACTTCTTGGAATTTAAGAACTCGCCTTGCTTCCGGCGCATCCGTTTCCCCGGATGTATGGTCTCAAGACTATCTCGTCAGTAAGTCAGTCGGATACTCAGCTTGCTTTCGGTACCGAACAAAAGTGACATTGGTACCGATTGCTACAAGCAGCGTGCCAATACCCCACGTCAGTCTGACCTAAGAAAATACCATAGGTGTAGAAGGTCGGTGACACGGGGCCCCTGGTGCACGTAGCTCTGGATTCGGCCCTCGAGCATGTATTTATGTATGTAGTCGCTCACTTGAAAAGAAGCGCTAAGACCTGCGACACTCGGCTCGACTTCGGAAATTGGTATTCCCTGTTAGGTATGAGTTAGTAGCATTGGTATGTTGGTACTATACCTTTTGTATTCAGACGTGACACGCCTCCGTCACGTTTGCAGGCACACAGTCCGATAAGTGTCCAGAAGGCTTGTGTGTGGATGCCATACGTAAAGGTTCGTACTGGTAGCGGGCCACCCTACCTCTATACACTCCTATACGTATGTACGTTTGAGAATACATTATGTAAGTAAAAGGAGAAAAAAGGTATCTGATATCCCCACCAACCGTGCACCGACTTCTCTCCCTTTTACCTTCTATCCCACCTCCAACCAGAACTCGGAGCATCAGGGCATAGACCCCTATACGTATCCGACAATACCAAACTGTACGAAACCGAACCGGTGGCATTCGAAAAAAAAAAGAAAAAAAGAAAAAACGTAAAAACAATACATCCTGAAAACAGGACGAACTCCATGGCGATTACTCACCACGAGGATGGACAACCATGTCCACTTGTGGATTTCCTGTGGTTAAACCTTCGGCATGACGATTGCTATGCCAATTATCCTGTATAATCGGCCGTTGTCGTTTCTTGAAAATTGATTAGGCCAATTAGCTATACTTCAATGTGACGACGAAGACCGAATGGTATCGCACTTGGAGAGTAATGGTGGATTCTCGAAATCGCAAATCCTCATGCCGAACACGAAACTCGTCTTTACGAGGAATGCAAAGAGTAATAAGTCTTGCTAGTCCGCGAGGTCGTGGCTACGTTAACAAAGAAAAAGAAGTCTTCACTCTCGTACGCCAAGAGCTTTTCACTGTCGAAGAACTCGAGGTGGTAAGGTACCAATGGTACCCACTTGGTGCAAACGCGTTGTTCGCCCTTTTAAAAGTCGGCCGGTGCAAGGATAGATGCCGAGGAAAGATAGTTCCAGCGCCTACTATAAATTTAAACTCCGATCCAGATATATACACGGGTGGCAGTCTTCTTCCTCTTTCGATACTTTTCTCCTTTTCTTCTTCAACGTCTTTTTCCTGCGTTCCCGTTCGCCGTTCGTCGGAGAAAAACGGCAGGAGCGGTTGGATATCCATCCTACACGGAGAAGGGATCACTCCGTGCTTCTATAATACGTTTGTATATAGCGGTACAGAATCCACGTCATCGATTAATTCGTTTCAAGCCGTATGCGCCGTTCTACCACTAGTTTCCTTAAAATATAGTCACAATATATGCGTGCGTGTGCGTGGTGTGTATATATATATATGGTGTTTCACTCTCTTTCTCTTCTGTAGCCGCTCTGCTTTTTGACGAATGTAAATTATTCAAGCTACGAATCTCAACCAGGAAACACTTGAGGTACATTTTTTTTTCAATCGAATCAGCCCGACGAAGAAACAATTAATTGCCAGACCTGCCCAAGAGCTTTGTAATCGGTTACGTGGGTATATCTAAAATTCATAACTTTTTAACCTGAGGCAGCATCAATTTTTTCACGAACCTAAAATCTGCATATGTATACGGCACTGTAGCCAGACGTACTAGAGGCAAATAATACAAATCGTATACAGAGTAAACATACAGTTGTTTCCTATTTGTATTAATTACGAGCTCCCGTTAACAGAGAAAGTTCGAAAAGCTTACACAAGCACGAAATCCATAGTTACAGTATTTATCATGATCGGAACTCGATCCTTCGCGTTGCTCCTATCCAAACGTTCACTTATAAATTATCGAAGGCTCGTTCACGCTCGACAAATTTCTCCCGACATATAACAAGCATTCGAGACACTGTATGGTATCGGCTTGACGTATCAAACAAGTAACTATATATGTATATTGCTATTTGCTACGTAGAATATGTCTAAACATAAACCAGCAATTTGACTGCGAAAGATTGCAAATAGAGGAAGCAATAGTCGAAAGCATTCGTGTGATAACTCAAAGAATTTTTTAATATACTTAAAAGTAAACTACTTAAAAGTACTGCCAAGTTTGCTACCGGTTATTCTTGTCTTTGAACCCTTTAAAAGAAACGATATCATAATACCATGACGGCTAATTACGTCGAGCGGTTCTCGCGTTCTAGTCCACTGTAGTCGCTCGCCTGAACGAGATCCGGGATATTCTCCGACACGCATAGATTCCCTGTTAGTTTCCCATGAGAGAAACAAATGGACGTTACGGTTGGGTACGATGCAGTGGGAACCGGAAGAGGCCGATTTCGATCTCAGTCACTATCGCCGTCATAAGGCCCGTCGAGTCTGGTCGAGTAAATTACCAACTACGAATGTGTACATCGCTTTGATTACGAGGAAGCTCGGCCAAGGCCGAGTAAATACGCTTACCGATAGTTAAATTATGCCGATCGCGCGTTATCGATCTCTATCGTCGGTTTATCGACCGAGTCCATTAGCGAGCGATCGGTATACTCTTTTTCGGACGATTGTTGAACGAAGACTAAATTTAAAAATTTTCTTTTCAGAGTTCGAATTTGGGTCAGGAACTGCTGGACAGGGTGTTCAGACATTTGAACCTTCTGGAGACTGCGTATTTTGGGTTACGGTATCTTGATCACGAGAATCAAACGGTAAGTCGCGCATGAAAATTTATTCGACGCTGATATCTTTCGTCGTGAGAATAACACGTCCAGTCGAATTGAGGTTGGACCATGGGATAGTGTCGATCGATCAAAAAAGGAGTGATGAGAGATGGGATAAAAAATGAAAAGAAATGAAACTCTTAAAAAGAAATGACGCAGTATGGCGTTGAGCAAGAGTGACGCAAATTGAGCTGTCCGTCGGTAATTCGATTCTTGCTAATATAAATCTCTACGAGTATTTACATTCGATATCCTGATCACTTCTGCCCTCGAGGCAGACGAGGATGAGATTATTATCAACGGGAAATGCCGAACTGTTGTAATTTCCGGTGGGACATTGGCCACGCTGTGAAATCACCTATAAGCTCTGGTCCAGCGTCATCTTAATTAATTGGATTGATAGTAATTCACCAATGTGATTCACTGCTATTTACAGCAATGGCTAGATCCCAGCAAGAAGATCGGGAAGCAGCTCAAACTTCAAAGCGGAGATCAAAGTCCGGACGTGCACGCGCTATACTTCGGGGTCAAGTTCTATGCCGCGGATCCTTGCAAGCTCATAGAAGAAATTACCAGGTACGAAAAATCGTCCTTCCGTGAGGGAGTTATCGGGACGTAGTAATTCCTGAAGAATATCGGTGCGTTCAAACGTGCTTCTCCGTTTTTCTATCAGCGATGCCTTGAGGACGTCCATTATATGTCAGAATGCACTCGGATTATCGTCTGCAGTCTGTGCGGCTTTCAGAACACTTTACGATAAAGAGAAGCTGCTCGCGTTCTAGTTAGATTTTCCGTCTCGCTGGATGAACCAAGTTCCGAGACTTTTTTTTAGGGAATTTTATGTACGGATTGTAAATTGAGGTAGAAGGGTACGGTGCTGGTACAAGTGGGCGGTACCGAGCGTAAGCGCATTGATCGCCGAGCCGTCTGTTATCGGTTGAGGAATTGGTACCGCGGAGCATTTGTAGTTTGAACAAAAACGGAGATACAGAACCCAGCGAACTGGTCAGGAGTGAAATAAAAAAGTCTTTACAAACGAGCGAACTCAATCTATATGCTAATGCATTCATCGTTTATACCAGGTGAGCAATCGATGAAGGTACATTCATGCGTTTCCACCCGTGGGCCATCTCCGACGTTAGGGGTTGGTAGTATTGACTCTGTAACTGACTTTCTCGCTAGAGCAAGTCCGGATGCTCTCGAGAAACCAGTGAGTTTGTTTCGTATTTAGCCTCGGGCTTACAACTCCTGCGGACCCTGGCAATTAACTGGGCACGGCAATTATCCAGCCAAAAATGAAAATTATAGACCATCCAGCATACCCGAGCTCGGAGCTCAACTATTTTTCACATGCGTCATTATCGTGGATAATAAAATTACAGGTTGACCCGCGAACAACTACTCGCTACTTATACCGAGAGAGGGTGAGTGCGAAATATCACTCCTTCGTATACATAAAACTAGCCCGACTGCACTTCCGTGACTATAAGTACGTTCACAACTGCAAATAAGTTTCACGATCCGCCGCACGCACCTTTACTGGTGCGCGATGGGTCGTAAAAATAATGAAAAAGAGGCTTAAATAAAGTATACTTTCTTTACCTCGCCCACTCGCCTCTTTTCGGGCGCGTCTCCGAACTTAACAGCCCCCACAGTACTTTTCGCGGGAACACGTGAATCATATATCAAGACTCGGTGTGAGTGCTGCCTAATATGTGGCAACGTAGCTGGCTGGCACAATATAACAGGATACAAGATGCAGACAGTCTGACTGGACCGCGAGACATAAACTTAAGCTTCGGGTAGGGATAAGACGCTGACGTCTCCAGTGGTCGTTCACAATTCGCTTCCACCGTCCACGTACGCTGTGTTATTTCTCTGCCGTCTGAGATACCGGGATTCCATATACCCTATACCCACTTCGCTTGGGTCACGATTAACGCGATTACCCACAAATTTATTGGCGATGAAAGAGGCGTAATTGCCCGAGGTACACCCGGTTAGATCCACGTGATAAGTCGATATCGCTGCGAACGCGCCGAAACGCTTGTAAAACCAATGCTTAACTTGCTTCCCGTGTAAACACAGTGATTATCGATGAATTATCGATTGCCACTTGTTTCCCGTCATAACGGCATTGGTCGAATACTCTGGCAGATACGCTTAACTGGAAATTGATAGGCAGTTCTGTCGAGGACTGTCCATACGATAAATAGACATGTTGGGTACAGTACCGTAACGTCATAAACGTTTGGAATTCCTTTTGCACCTATCACGTGTACGAGCATCTATGTACGTAGACTCGACGACGGTTGCTAAGAAGGATCTCGTGTCGGGTTCAGATGAAAAACCACGAGACTCACGGCAAAATTAAAGTTTGCGGCGAGACAAGGCTGCGCCACCCTTATATCTTTTATTTGTATTATTACGTCCGAGACAACGAAGCGTATCGTTGCGACGGGTATAGTGTAATACGGTTTCTTTGTAAAAAAAAAAGAGATAACCTTCCTTTCTTCTTCCTCAGGTATCAATTTTTCCTGCAAGTCAAACAGGACATCCTGCAAGGGAGGCTGCCGGTTTCCTTCGATCTGGCCGCTGAACTCGGAGCCTACGTTGTGCAATGTAAGAAAACCAGTCTACGCTTCCGGAGGTAGAACCTGGAACTTATGAGATAGCGCATAATAATCCTCATAAGAGCGTAAGGATACGAGGAATTTCATAAGCCGGGAGGGAGATCTGGATAAGGATCTATATGATCCATTAGTACCTGTTTTAAAGGGGTACCTTATCTGCGGTCTCGTGCATTTCGACTAGAACCAGCAGCGCCGCTCTTTTAGTTTGACAGAGAGTATTTGCGTGCGGGCGCGAATGAAGAGCGTCGGATATAGGTATTTCCTCCAGTTTCGTGTTACCAACGCTACCAGAAAATATTTGGCTTTGCCACTGGTATTCCGAGCGTAATACTTTTTGCCTTTTACGTTGAAAAATCTCTTTCATTTTTCAATCTCTCTCGTTCCCCTTTATTCTCTTTTACATACATATTGTACCTTTTGAAACTCGCTCATACGGGCTTCATGGGAAATTGAGCTTACGATTTGATTTCGGTGCTTTCAAAGCGACTGCGCATGCGCGTCTATACGTAGTTATGGGTGCCACGTGTGATTTTCTTCGGTTGAGAAAATTATGGGCAAATTCTCATACCTACCTACCGGCTATTAGGAAGCTCATTAAAAGCGCACTCGTAATAATAGCCAATGACGCGTACTTCGTTTTCTTCGAGTATTACCTTCATTCATGACTGCCCCTCTAAATTTCTTTGTTTCTTCGATCCTTTGGTTTCTCTTTACCCTTTTACTCTCTTTTTTCATTTTTCTTCTTTTTTTTACTTCTTTTCGTCTTGGATGCGCCACGACCCAACCATCGTTAACGGCTCTCGTTTACGGCTCGCTGTCATTATATTTTTTCTGATTCCCTTTTCTTCTCAAGTCTCTCATTCGTCACCGAGATTCACTTTGGAGGATTAGTGCATGGCACGCATCTACTGAAAAGTATCGCAAATGAAAACCTCGAAGACGGTTTCCGGTACGACCGAGTGACTTCCGCGCCATGTGAATTGAAGTCCGTCCACTCGTTAGTTATCTGCTGGGAGATTCAAAGATGTGTAAATAGAGACGGCGCTGTTTGCATCTCATCGTGTTGCGAAAGAGATGAATGCCCTTTCTTCGGTAAGCGCGCATTACTGGCAACGAGGACTCGCCATGCGAAATCTGAGTCGACAAAGTTGCTGTGTATACGAAGACGAGGCGCGGAGAGAGAGAGAGAGAGAGAGAGAGAGAGAAAGAGAATGCTTGGATGAGGAGATTCCGTAGAGTGAGTGAATAAGTAAATCTGCTCTCTGGGAAGGAGAGAAAGAAAAAACCTACGTTTTGACTCCCAATCAGGATAAGGTTCACTGAATGGAGATACCGACCTTAGAAACCGTAACGGAAGACCCTACAAGATGAGTCCATTGTGCCGAATGAAATTCTGAACTCGTCAACCGCAAGACGAGGAGTTGAAAAGGAGACTCTTTTGAAATTTGCCAAAAAAGATGAAACAAGTTGGCTATTTGGAATTTCCCTATGGCGACTTATATTCTTGTTTACTCGAACAAAATGGCATCGGTAATTTACCGGGACGTCTTTAGCTTGTCGATTCTCACGTCATCCGGTAGCGACAGTATCATCTAGAGAATAAAATCTAGACTGAGGTTCTTTCTTCTTCTTCACAAATAACAAGAACGTTTAGCAATGATAGCTACTTATGTCTTCTCTGCCTATTGTTTTACTTCTCCATCCTCCTTCGTGTAATCAATGCATGAGAGCTTACAGGGCAGTTGTGCCCTGGTCGAGTCAACTTTTAATCAGTGATAGGTTACAACTGACAGATGTACACTGACTCAAATTCCCTATGATCTTGTCAGGTTCTATTGAGAACAAGTCCAATTGATTTATGAAAAGGTGTAAAAGAGTAAAATAGTTCACTTGAATAGGAGTGCTGTAACGCACTTAACACTCCATCGCATGCGAAAGCACGCGTTGGTCTAGTGGGTTCGAAGGAAGACACAGAATGAAATATGTTGCGCAGGTCAGCGCCTGATATTTATCAAAGTCACCGATTCAATTAACTGTCTGCAGAACGGGTCCCGAAAGGTATAGAGCTATTTAAGTATAGCTGTGAAGTAGCATCCAGTCTTTCTTGAACGTCTTCTTAAGTTTTTGATAAAACGTGTAAACCAGCTCTGACAACCGGTCGCATTAACATTCTTAATAACAGCGCCAGAGCCGGAGGAAGTATCTTATCAATTTCCAAGGCTTATTATATGTTAAAATGACATATAAAACGTATAAGGGATAGTCTTATGTCTTCGATGATATATTTTCATTATCTCAGTGCACGCTGATTGCACTTCGGTCTCATCGGTAACGTGCTGGATAAAAATGGATTATCATAGCTGAATCTCGCGTGTTCTCATATGCAGACACGCACGCACGCACGCATATCCCTCTGAGCTCACGTAAGGAAATTGCAGGATGAGAGCACTTTCGTCTTTCTCTTGTAGCACGGTAGATAATACGCGTGGGCATCCGGCCCGACCGGCTAATCGGCTGTCCGTGTGTAGAATAAAGGTGCAGACGATTACGTTAATAAGTTGCAAATAAATGATGCGCGCATTCCGCGCTCTGTTCGATAACACGGGTAACCATGTGCTTTCAGCGGAACTGGGGGATTATGATCCACGACGACACTCCATTGGATACGTCACCGAGTTCCGATTCTTGGCTAATCAGACGGCGGAACTTGAAGCGAGGATAGTGGAACTGCACAAGACCTTGGTGTAAGTCGAACGAAAGCGTATCGGAACAGGTTCTCTAGCGCCCCGGCGCACATTGAATTTCAAATGCCGCAAAATCCATAGGTTTCTCAGATGCTTAGATCGTTTTTGACTCTTTCTGCAGAGGCCAATTGCCTGCGGCGGCTGAACTTAACTATCTGGACAAGGTGAAGTGGCTTGAGATGTATGGAGTCGATTTGCATCCTGTTCTGGTACGTATTTGATCTTCGATTATTATATCCTTTTGTATACGTATATCCCGGTGGGACTTTGTAATGCTTATTGATGTTACTTTCGTTTGTTGTTACAGGGTGAGGATAACGTGGAGTATTTTTTGGGACTGACACCAAGTGGTATAATACTTCTGCGTAATAAGACGAAAGTAGGAAACTATTATTGGCCTCGAATTAACAAAATATATTATAAGGTACATATTCTTTAAGTATATCTTATATGTCAATATTTTTATTGAATTTTATCCATATTGATGAGGCGTGTTGAATGATTGATTTCACGTGTAGGCTAGATACTTTATGCTGAGGGTCAGCGAGAAGAATTCTGAGGAGAGAACTCATGGATTCGAGACCCCATCGAGAGGAGCGTGCCGACATCTTTGGAAATGCTGCCTGGAGCATCAAGCCTTTTTTAGATTAATGGCTACCGGTCCACCACCCTTGAGTCCTTATTCCCGCTTTCGATCTTATAGTCCACCTTCCGGGTCCGAGAAGCATACTGCGATCAGACGAAATCCACCCCCGGTCTTTCAAAGAACCCCTAGCAGAAGGGCGCAACGTCGAGTAGTGGAAGGTCAGGAAATGGTGAGACCCTTTGTCGAGACGCCTACTGCTATTCCGAATACTGGCAACAGTGGTAATACTCCGAGTACCAATACGAGGCAGGTAAATTCAAGTCCTAGAAGCACTAGGAGTGCACCCTGGACACAGAGCCAACCTCGTGGTCTTTACACCTCGTCTAGTCCTCGATCCGTGCGTTCTGCAGGAACTGCACCGGCAGTACGTACTATCAACTTGCAAAAATATAAAAATATAATCTTTATATTTATGACATTAATATTGCACAATTGTCAATCAAGGGAATTGTAAGGTTGAATTTGTTTTCAGCTCTTGAGCAGACTCCAACGTAGGAGCAGCTCGGTGGAGAGCCAAAGCTCAGGGGATAGTCACAGTCGTGGTGGACACCGTAGAAGGAGTCACAGTCATAGTCATCGTAGACATAGTCGACACTCCGATTGCGAGTCCGAATTATCTAGAGGATCTGAAAATAGATCTGGTCATCGTAAGCATCGAAGGAAGCACAGAAGTTCACGGTCCTCTAGGTAAGCTTTGTTTGTGCCATTTTATCCTGATTTACAGAACCAATATACATATAATTTGAACTCTTATAACAATAATTATTACAAAAATGTTATGCTATAGGCACGAATTGATAGATTCTGAGCCGCAATGGAGGGAGGCTCAAAGACGAAAGAGCGAGGGTGTCCAGAGAGCTGTGGTGGGTATATTTAATGGCACAAATTATTTTGAACTATTATTAATGATCTTACTATACTGTAGGTTAGTCACACAGAACCCAGACGAAGACACAGAAGTAGGCACCGGAGTCCTTCTCACAAGCAACTTCCAGACGAGCTTAGGAAGTAAGTTACATATTCCTGCTGATTCTGAGAAGCGTCTATTATCGGTGTTACTCTTTTCATTAGATCAGATCGCCTAATACGTATAAGAACATCGCAAACGGCAATGTTTCCCGTATCGCTACACGAGGCAACGCGTTTTTCCAGGCACCTGGAGTTTGGCCTAGTCGATACAACAGGAATGAGCGAACAGCAACGCCGAGAAATTCCTTATACGGTGGTTCAAGCTCAAAACGTTCCACAATGTCCCGTTCAATCTAGTAATCCAAGATTGGACGATGGGGATGCGACATCCCTGCCTAGGTACGATGATCTCAAGACCACCTGCACTCTACACGGCCCTCCCTCTCTGGAGGATGAGACGGGATCCGTAGTCATTGTTTAAAAATCCTTTGCATGTGTTTTATTTATTTCGAGCATGTACATTATCTACTTTAAGCATGCCCCTATTTATTTGAAGCATGAGCCCTTAATAAATCACTGATTAACAGCTTGTCGCACCTGTTTATTTATTTCCTGGCTGGCACCCACTGTTGCTTTTGCTCGGTCCATACAGGTCGATCGCGATACATGTGTTTTATTGTATTCACCTCAAAAAGTGACAATTTCGGTGGACGCTCAAACGACTTTAACACGAATGTTTCGGTTTTAATTAATTTCAGGTTTTACTTCTCTACTTGTGATCAATAATGGGCTAATCCAATATTACATTGTTTTTTACTGTGTCTGTGAATTTTATAAATTTAACAATTATTGTGTAATGCATTAAATAGGTCTGCAAAGGTCCATTTATATACAAACTGTTAATTTGTTCTTTGTACTGTTCAATGTTATTATGTTTTAACAATGTATAAACTTACTTTACCCGAGTGTATGTTATTTAGTTATGTAGACACGTTTTAACGTTTACCGAAATATTAGTATTGTATTTTAAAATGAAAGAGAAAAATGTTGAAACAACCGAATAGCAGACTGTCAAGGATTCACTTTCAGAATGATCGGATCCGTTGGCAAAAGAGACAGAAGAGTGGTTCAGCATACTTGCGATGGAAATTATAATTTGCCATCAACGAGACGCGGTCGAAACGATACAAAGTATCCTGAGCCTAGGAGCGAGTATAATTTGCGGAAGGACTTTGATTATACTCGTAACAGCAGAATGTTGATAGGAAGTAATGTGGACAGTGGCCTCGGCGAAAGCACACCACAGGATTTTTCCAGCTGCTGTTCAAGCTCTGCAGACAGCACTAAGCCTACTCGTGTAGTACGTATTATTCTTTCTTTTGCTTTCGCTATATATCAATATAATTACATTATAGATGGTGTACTGTTACTTATAGTGTAACCCATTACTTTTTGCGAGAACAAGGAATAGATAGAGAACGAAAGGCGTATTTATGTGTATTGTACATCGTCGGGAATTATATAGAGTTATTGAAAACTTGGCTAAAAATAATGAAATCATTGTTGAATCTATGGAAACCTTATTTTCCAGTAATCAATAAGTCTTTCCTTCTGTAGAAAATAGGCCTGTAAAAATATTTTACTCAACACTCTTAATTCCTTATCTCACTTGTATTTTAACTTTTCTTTATAGAAACTTTTGGAATTAAATAGGAGACTTTAAAGTGAATATGGTTAAGGTTATCAAATGTTTTCAAATTTCTTAAAGATATTTCTTATGATAATTGGAAGTGGAAATCTTTCCTTTGTGTTTCATAGAACAAATTTTGTTGATTCTAAAGTATCTTATTAAATCAAGTTCAATGTAGTAATTTGCAATGTTATGTATGCGTGTAGTAGTTTAGTAAAATAGTTTTGTTTGGTGTAGACGCAAAAGCAATTAGCGGGAGAGGTGCGGTATGAACTGTCTTCAAATCAAGCCATCTACCCTGTTGACGCTACCCTGGACGCAGTCCTTCAACCAATTATATCGTAAGTTCCCACTTCTATTGCTTTTCTATTGCTTTTGTATACAATTAAAAAGAGGTGGACTTATTACTTGAAATATATTAAAAAATTATAAAAATTGTATTGGATTGGAGCATGCTAGGTTTACCGCTGATAAGGGGCACAGGAGATAATATGAATTTGGTACGTGTAACACATAAATTTGTACAACTAAATTTGTATTTTAAAATAATATGTGCTTTCTTCCTACAGAAAATTAAGTTACATATTTTATATATTTGATGCATGGCATTATTTATTTATTTAATGGTCAGCTGCACATTTTATTGATGATATAAACGATGATTACTTTGTAAATGCACACTTTTAATTGATGTACACATCTTTTAACACATGATATATATCATGTTGTATAGTGAGCTATATAATTTTTAATAATAATATAATTGGTCTTAATGAATTGTTTCAGAACTTTAACGCGCCGACAAAGGACCCGGCCAAAATGAGCACTCAGCTTTAAATGAAAAGCAGACTTTTATGCACATACTGTATATTTAAGAAGTTTGTTATACCTCAACAAAATAAATATGTATAATCCCACCAGTCACTCAGTTGATGAGAAGAAACAGTCATCCAATGTTGTGAACACGGTTTTATTTGGAAAATATACTCCTATTCTTATTTCGTTAGATTCAGTTGTCCTTCGATGCCATGTGTCGCATAAGATTTCCTATAAATTTTTCCATCTTCTTCAGATCTTGTGCTATTTCTGTTTTATACTGTAGGCACTGTAAATTTAAAAATATCCTTTTATATTATAGTTACAGACTCTTCATATCACATTAGAATCCATTTTTGTTATTAAGAATGAAGTAGACAATTTTCCTTACATAAAAGGTTATATAATTAATTGTGTAATAAGAATCACATTCTCAATAATATGTAGAAATAAATTATCCAAAATTATGTTAAAGATAGTCTCCGAAGTTAAAAATAAAAGGATACTAACCGTACGATTATCTGTAAGCTTAAGACAAAGAGTACCCTTATTGTGACAGTACTTCATTGTATACCGAGCCTAAAAAACAATGACACATATTAATAGCAATCAATTAAAAACTAAACTATTGAAATGTAGCTCTATATATGCTTCAATATTTATTGCTCAAAAATATATCAGTCTTGATACAGAATTTATATGTCAATTGTTACCATACACAATAGTCCCATAATGTATTCAAGAATTCAACGATAAATCATAAAAAGTTCTTAATAAAAACAATAAAAGTGCTTGAGCAATTTACCTTGATTGGATTTTGCAAGTATAGCCTTTCTGCCCCCTTTTCAAATTCTTCCCACGATTTCATATACGTCATTGCTAAAAATTAATTTTATCTATGTTCTCAAAAAATGCCGTTTTCAATTCTCACTATTTTAAGTCACCACGAAATGCTGATCTACACTAACAAGAGAAGTTTAACCTATAAAGAGAACTAGGTACATATGACAGAGTCTGACATGGCCATTTACCCATGTGATACAGCATGGTGCACGTGTACAAGGTTACACTAGTGAAAGGAAACTCGATAATTTTGGCCAGAGATAAATCAGAGATGAGTAGGGAGATGCACAACGCTTGGCTCACTGAATTCTAACCATACTGAAACCCGTACGGCAGTGGTAGGGGCCGCGTAAAGAGAGATAGCAAGGACACAGGCGAATGTAGTAGGCTGTTTGTATCACACACTGTACAGTCTCTGAAAAAGTTTAAGCTCAGAAAAAGCAGTGCGCACAGGGAGGGCTGAGCCAACATAACATAATCTGAAATAGTGGCACATATATTTTATTTCGAAGACTGCTAAATATTTTGTTATCGTTTTTACAAAGTTTTACGAATTTGGAATTGGCGGACTTGACCGCAGTGAAAAGTGATTTTAAATCACTGATCATAATTATTATTTAATGCATAAAACTTTACAGAAATCCAGAAATGATTGCAAAAATTTAGTACAGATCATAATGATTTAACTATTGTGAATTGCTCCAGACTACTTAAATGATGAATTTAAAAATCGAGGCTACTATGTAAATAATAGACATAGTTAGTCCTACTTTTATCTGATACAAAAATAGCGAAACCATGAAAGAAATAGTTTTGCTTTTAGATTAATTTCAATATGAACAAAATACAAAAATATATTTTTATATGCTGAATTTTTTAAATATATTTGTTGTGTTTTATTACTTAGTTTGATAATAAAAATGTTATAATTGGTATATAATATTTGCAATTTAATTATCATAAATAATTAGTAGTGCTAACTATTACCAAATATTTAGCTGGCACACTATACTTATACGTATTTGTATTTCAGTGCTAGCGTGGCTGACATTGATATGTGGTGTTACAACATTTTTGCAGGGCTTGTACACCACATACGCAGTTCAATTTGAAAAGGACAAACTCCTACTCGTGGTGAGTGAGACAGCTCCGCGCTGGCCGGGTTACTTTCGAATACAGACGTACGGGTTCCAGTATGGTTAGAGTTCAGTGGTTTATGTTCAAAGTACAAGTGTCTGATTGGCTAATAGCACAATTAAACCGAGTTTATGCATTGAACCACGTCGAAGAAAACGAGCCTTAGTCAGGCAAGAAACGGGCCTTCATCTGAAAATTGCCAGACAGCACCATCACAGTAATAACCGGAACTACTCAAAGTGACATGATTTCGAGAATAGGGTCCCTGTAGCAACATTTATCCTGTGTCTTTTACTTTTAACTTGCTTGGTTCGCTCCAGGCAATAAAATTATTTAATTATTTAAACAATTTCAATGTCCTTAAATATATATTTTTGTTTCGAACTTATCCATTACTCGTGAACCTTATTTCTTTGGTATCTCACTTATTTGCGACGCTGTCTCTAATTACGTCTCATTTAATATTAACCCGTCATGTCCGGTTTCCGCCAATAAATTTGTTATAATATTGAACTTATCTTAATAAAACTTATCATGAACAATAACTTTGAACTTACTGACTAACACATGAATAATATATCCAGTTGTTCTTCATTATTTAAAAACTTTTTATTGTCAGATAACGATAAATTTATTTATCCTTATTAGCTAGCGTAATGCTACATATATACTGAAAATCTCTTCTTTAAACTCACTGTCAATTACATGAACACTTATTTACTAAAATACTTAATACTTTTCAAAATACCATACTTCTCTGCACGTCATTATGTTATCCTTAATCTCATTATCACTCGGTAATCTAATTCTAGTTTACCTTTTCTAATGACAAATAAATCCAGTTTTCAGCCAATAGGTTTTTTCAATTGTTCTCGAGGAGTTCTCTAGTTCCTGATAGGTTTTAACAATAGTTCTGCTACGTAACATCGTTAAAATACGTGTTTTCCAAAAATTGAGGTGCTTTGGGTGTGAAGTTGTCACCTCAGTATTTAGAAAACGTTTCATTAATAGGCTTTCTCAATAGTTCTTGAAGAATTCCATAGTTTCCGGCCTCGTTCTAAGTGTTGCTTTGAGAACCAGCAGTGAGTGGCGGAGTTAATACATATGAGAGTGGTTTGATACATTATGATATTGTATTTCTTTAGGCTGATAATTGACCCCAAGAGGAGATATAGCTGATAATCTGGAGGATTTTATTTTATTATATAATAAATATACTACCTCTTATTGACTTGAATTTTTTAAGAACAAGGATCGGTGCAATAAATAAAAACAGTTTTATAAATATCAGAGAAATAATAAATTTATTTTGAGTAGAGACCCTTTTCTCATTAATACATCATTTAATAATCCTTACCATATAATACTAAGTAATTTTCAAACTATTTATTGTAAGCTTCTGCATAAATTGTCAATTAACACGAAGATATGTGTGATAGGTAAACATTTACGTGAGACATCTAGCGTACGTGTAAGACCTAAATCTTATAAAACATCGTACGCACATGCAAGTTTAATGAGTACAACAAATATATAGATATATAGAATAAGTTGCGATATTCTTTTGATCAACAAACGGGTCTTCTTCGTACAATTGTAATACGATATTATTAATATTTGTCAATTTTTATTATCGTATGACAATTTTCCAAGGCTCTTTAAGTTGAATGATACTTAGTTAAGTACAGAGTTAAGATATGAAGTTTTTATTATAATAATTTTTCAAGGCTGCCAGAATAGAATATCGCGCAATTAAAGCAGATTAGATATACGCAGATCCTGCTTTCTTAAGATGCATTAAAATACCTAAATAATATCATAAAAGTATGAAAACCAATTTATCACGTGAAAAATTATGTAGTAGATAACTCTTTTATATCTTCAATAGCGAGACCACATGGCAGCCTTATTAAAAATTTGCATTTTGTTGAAACAAATTGTACTTCAAAGACTGAAGCGAAAAGATCTCACCTGCGGTATGTACCTAAAATCTAAAAGGATAATAGAAAGAAAGGATACCCTGTAAGAGAAAGGACAGGGACTGGTTATTGTCTATATAATACACAAATGCAAATACATAATCTGCATATGGAGGATCCATATGTATATTAGGTATGTGCCTAAAACATCTATCTACGGAATTTATCACTCTGCTTTACCTTACTTTTGCCATCCGACTACTATCCTTCTTTTAATCAAGACTAGCGTTAACATCTACGTCGTTAATCATTTATCAATATTATTGTATCAAGTTTGGTCACAAATTTTGCGAAATATCATTCGTCGATCTGGTGAATTCAATCGGAATTTCCATCAACTAAGTTCTTAAAGCAAATATCGAAATTTATTGGTATAATACCAACTTACCCGAAATTACTGACCAGAGTACACGGTTTTTGCAAGTGCTCATGAAAGTGAGAATTCAATTGCTCAAATAATTTCTTTTTGGCAGTAGATGTTCAAAAAACGCAAACCGAATCTATAACTATGGTTTTGATACTCTTGGTCTTGATTATCACTAGAAATTTGTATGTTACGTATCTGCAGAATCCGATAAAGTACCGAATTCCATAATATTATGGACAAATACGTAGATAGGCAAACATGTACATGGAATACTAAGACTTCGATATCTTTTAATTCGTTATGTACCAAGTAGGCCATATTCAGAACGTACATCTCGGAATAGACCGATTCGATAATCTGAGCGTAAGACAACCTGGGTTAATGTATTTTTGTCCTTATTGAAACTATTCAGTCCTTCGCATTCGAATTACTGTGCTTCTTCGTGAATAGATCAACCCACAATTTAGTTAAATTCAAATAAAAATTGGGACCCTCCGGTTCATAATCTAGATACGTGAAATCCTTGTTACTGGCTGGTTTAGCTGGTTCGATCTGCGTTCCTTCATGCCATTCATTGAATGAGGTTATAGATACAATATTTGCACCACTGTTTAAAACATTTCGCCATGCCATCTCGTAATATTGTCCATGACGTCGATGCCTTGTATTTTCAGAATTCCAAGGCCGAACCTGTGCAGTAATCGAATGTTATAATGCTTATAGTCTTTAATTTTAAGAAAGGTATAAATCTATTTAGAACGTAGAAAAAAATAGTTTTTTACTGTTAGAACTAATTAAACCTAATAAGACAGTTCAACATAATTTACCTGTGTATCAATGTATCCTGGTCCTAAGCTGGGTATAAATAATAGCTTGTTTTGAATGGCAAACTTGTTCAACTCCTTCCAATTCTTCCATGAACTACCATGACTAAATCCATTCACAGCAAAGTATGTGTAAAATCCATCAAAATGTGATTTTTTGATATGATTTCTATGCTGAGATTCTACCAATAGGCCAATATATATTGCATCAATTTCAGTTCCTCGTAATGTTAAATTACCACGTTCAGATAATAGTTCCCTCCATGCAGTAGATGGAAATACATATGAATCATAGATGTACATCACTGGCAATACTGTATCGCTGGACATATAAGTATTGTACATTTGTTAATTAAATTCAATTGACAAAATTTTAGTATGTATATATTAATATACTATATATATATATACGTATATATTAATATGTATATATATAATAACTGATGAAGATTATTGTAGAAATATTTACTCTTCTTGTCTTTTCATTCTGTAGAGGGCTGGATGTGATCCATATTTGTTGAACAAGTGTCGTATATGCTCTATTAAATTAATGGGATTACGTCCTGCATATGGTTCAATATGTGGAGCTATTTTTAAATGATATCTGTGCGCTGTGTCCAATAAATCAGGCATTATAGAATCTGTATTGTCATTTGCAGTCGGTGGTGTCCAGGAAACAACAACAACTCCCACACCAGCTTCTTTTAATTGTTTCATGTGTAGATCTATGACCTATATAATAGGAGTATATTTTTATTAAAATGGCATAAATGATTGTTACATTGATTACAATGATAAGAAACCGTAAGTTGAATGATACCTTTGGATCCATTGAACTGTAACATCCTAAACTAGGATAATAGTTTGCTCCGATATCAGCTGGCGGTTCATGATTTCCATCTGGAAATACTCTTTTATCATTTTTCTTCCAGTTTGGTAGATATGCATGATTCCAATGTTTCCAGGCTCTGTCATAAGACAGTGAACGGTACCAAGCATAATAAAATATATGAACATTGTAATTCGGCTCCACAATTGTATTGTTGCTCAACAATGGGAGAACTTTATTTCTCATTTTTCGTGACATTCTGGCAATTTTATTTTGCACAATTTTTTCACGCATCTCTTTATATTTTTTGTCATTGTTTTCTTTTTTGTTATCATCTGCCTGTACTGCTGTTACAGACTCCAATTGTTGATTTGATATTGTACTCCACTCAACTGCAGGAGTGACAGCATGAGGCTGACACTTAACAGATTCTAAAGGTGAAAGCTTGACAATGATGACAGCTGCCATCAATGTTGAAAGCACCAGAACGACAGCGGATAAATAAAAACATCTCCTCAATGAAACTGCTGTTACTATACTGCCAAACATATTGAATATATGCCCTTGCAGATTTTTTAATATAGTATTATACTTTATTGTTCTTGATTCAGAAAGTGTATATATTTAGTTAAGTATTAATTATAGGTACTTCATGCTGTTTGATGAAATGTTCAGTTTTTCTAACGAAGTAGTATTTGAGCAATGTTTATCTTAATTTTCCATTTAAAATAATGGAGGCTGTTAAAAAAATATCACAGCACAAATGATCACAAATTACATAGCATTCACAAAATTATTAATTGTATAAATAATACAGAAAAAAGGAATTTAAATTACAATAGGAATTATAGATATAACAATATCAATATGGTAGTAAATAAAAACAAAGTTTTAAAAACTCTAGATTTTTCATTTTTCAAAAGATGCCGTTACGTGAGTACAATTGCATAACAATCTATATTCAATTTGAGCACTGTATTTACATGCAAATTGAATTATGCAAGAATGAATGAATTTTGTATAAGAAATGATTTCCATAATGTTTATTTAAAAATATAGACTTAGGTATGCACTGCCTACAGTTTAAATATTTCAACAAATAAAATCATATCAGAAATGTTGAGTAATTGATTATAAGGAATTTTTCATCGTATAAAACACTGTTCCAATGACAATCGCACATTGCACACACATGAAATGGAACTGGGATGAGTAGTATAGGGGATACTGTTCTGAAACAATAGGAAATCAATATTTCTCAGGGTTATAATAATAACGCAATATCATTCGACAAACGAAAAAGAAAAAATTCAAGAAAAAATGAAGAGGTATATTATGTCAGTATTACAAACGATCAATATTCTAAAAGTAGTAAACTGAACAAGAAAATTAAATATAAATTAATACAGAACTTAACATGGGCGGTGCAAGATGTGGTTATTGGATCTTACACTTTTCTCACAGTAACTGAGTCGTGATATCGATAAAACACCAATGGAAAACACAATAAGTTGAATATGTTGATTTAAGAAAACCGACACTTGACACTCAGATTATTTTATAATTCACCGTGTCGGGAATCACAATTTTTTACTTCAAAAGGAATCACCCTGCGGATTAATCAAGTACTGCTAGGGCAGCTTGGCAAATATAGCAGCGCCATGGATTTATGTACATTATTTGAAATTTTTAGTGAAGACATAAATTGTTTTATTGTGATGCGTTTTATAAATTATAAATTTTGCTTTTTAATTTTTAAATATTTTAAATACTTGCAGTAATAAATGTTCTATAAAATATTCTTTGCTTAATTAATATATAGCTCCTTTGAATTGCAATCGCTTCGTGCGTTGTTCACGGAACGGTAGCGCATTAGCAATATTCTTTTGCCTCTAAGTATATCATGAATTAAAGTAAATTAAATAAAAATACGCTTACAAGTTGTGAATATAATAACTAAATTGACTGGTAAGGTGAGATTCACAAACCATGAATACAAAAATATTGTTTCAGAGAGAGAATATTTATTAAAATAGATAGTTTTTCATCTTAATTTTTTACTAATTTAATTAATGGGAACGATGCATTTTCTACTTAATTTAACGTATATCCTTTCAGTAGTAGAGGGTCTTGAACGCTCTTCGTCTGTCTTCTTGTTATTCCGGCCGGTAAGAAAATACCGACAAGTACGCTATGACGTCAGAACGCCGCGTCGCGATGCTTACTGGGAAATGGGTCTACCATCTTGGATGGCATGGCCCAGCTAAGAAGTGCGTGATGACGAGAAATGTGATTTTCCGGGAAAGGATCGGTGCTCTGCTACGTGAGAACGTATAGAATTTAGTGGCCGTGTATTTTGCACCATTCTTTTACAATGGAGGCCGTTAAAGCTTTTAACGCGGAGGTAAGGAAGGTGCTAACGTAAATTTTGGAGGTCACCGTCGTAGGTACAACCCTCCCACTTTTCCCTGGCCCGCCAAGCAAAACAGATTATTAATTATCAATACTCAATATAATTATGATCTACAAATATAATCATAGAGATTTCAGAGCTTTGTTTAACTTACATTTCTTCAACTGATTGAAATAATGACTACGCTCAATACTAAATTGCATAATTCTTTAGCCTGCACACTTACTTTTTACAGACGCTCAATATTATTAATTTGTTAGTTATCCCTTTAACCCTATATCATTTACACTTCCTTATTTACTTATTCCTCGTTGGTGGTCATGTTGATGGTGGTAGGCTTTAATGAACAAAGGTTTAATATTCGTTGGGGTATAATGCCGTTATACCATAGTTTATGTCCAGAATAATATACGAATACTTTAATTGCATATTTATTTAATATTTATATTAATAAAAGTAAAATGTTGCAGGACATGAAACACTAAGTATTTTTATTTTTTAACAAATTTTATAATTTTTTGTATAATTATAGTAATATCATTTTAAGGTATATGTTCTTAGGATAAATTTATTGATTATCTTTTTTTTTCAGCTTTCCGCTTTATATGATGTAAAGCCACCAATTTCAAAGGCTAAAATGAATTCACTTACTAGAGGAGCTATTAAAGCCATTAAGTTCTATAAACATGTTGTACAAAGTGTTGAAAAATTTATACAAAAAGTAAGTCTCATGAAGTATAAAGTATGAAGTATGTTATTTATGTATTATAATATATACTTTGTGTAAATAGGTCTAATATATATTCTTCAAATATTTCAGTGCAAGCCAGAGTACAAAGTTCCTGGATTGTATGTAATAGATTCAATTGTACGGCAATCTAGACATCAATTTGGAATGGAGAAGGATGTATTTGCTCCTAGGTTTGCAAAAAATATGCAGACAACCTTCCTTAACTTATTGAAATGTCCGCCAGAAGATAAAAGTAAAGTCATACGTGTTCTAAATCTTTGGCAAAAAAATGCTGTGTTTCCACCGGAAGTAATACAACCACTGTTCGATTTGGCTGATCCGAACCATCCCATTCACAAAGAACAGCCAATAAATACTAATGGTTTGTTTCCATAATAAATAGAGACACACGTTGAACTAAAACAATAATTTGACTTAATATCCTTGAATGAATGATAATTATTATTTAATTAATATTTGTCTTCAGGTACGTTAAATACAACATCAGGTAGTAATGTAAACGCTCTTAATGCAGTTACAAAAACACCGCCATCTACAGTTAAGAACACACCAAAAGATCAAAAGCTTTTTTCATCAGCTAAACCCATCGACCCGGCATGGCTCGCTCAAACCAAAATGGAAACGGCTAATATTGTTAATGCTAATAAGCTGCTGGTAAGAATGTTATGTTACAGATGTACATAAATGGCTAGAAAAAGAGGACTTCGTATTTATCATATAATTTCAATTGTTAATCAAGGGACAGGCTGGGTCGAATCAAGTGGACGTCTCTTTCCTGGATCAGCTTCAACATTTACAACAGCTACTACTGAAGAAGCAAGAAGCTGCCAATGAATCACAGTCTTCAGTGAAGTTCGACAAAAAATTATTAGATTTCGATTATGGTGAAGAAGAAGATGATGACGTGGTTGTCACAAATTCCCCAACAACAGCAGCTACAGCCGTTGCACAGCATAATGCTGGGTCCACCAGTGGCAGTCTTGAGAGCCTTGGTCTCCTATTAACTAATCCAGAGGTTAGTTTTTTGCAAAAAGTATAAATAATTTCGGAAAATAATATGATACAAAAACACTTGCAGGTTCTAAGACAATTACAGACATTACAGCAAACTATGCAAGGTGGCTCATCCGTTTCTCAGCACGAAATGGAAGAAAAAATGCGTAAGCTGCAGCAAATGAAACAACAGGAAGAAGAGTTTGATAAGCATCTAGCGCAGACTGTTCCCGTCAGTGTTTCGCATATTGCTCTCTAAATGTGCTTACAAATTTTATAGCTCATTGAATTAAATGATTCCAGAATTTACCGTTCGCTTCGGAGTGCGAATTAAAACCTTCAGACATTCTGAAACCAAGTCAACAGAATGTTTACAGCACAATTACGAATGCTGGAGTTATGCAGCAAGATATGAGCCAACCACCTCCTGGCTATCCACCTGCCCTACCGTATTCTTCTCAACCACCATCAGCCCTTAGATCAACCGCCCAAACGACGCATCCAAGTCAAAAAAGTCCTTTAATGGATGAAAGACAAGACTCTCAAGATTATCAAGGGTATGAAATAAGACCTGCTTTACTTACAATACAGTTGTGTACATGTGTTAGTGCCTTGTTATCAGCTACATGATTATTCAATACTAACGCAAGCAAATGTTTACATTGCAGATCGGTTACAGCTAGACGAGATAGTAGTAGTGTGGAGATAGTGAATTGCGAAACAGTAAGGTCTCAGAGCAGGTCGCCAGATCGATATAGGCGCCATAGTCGATCGAGATCACCACGGCATAGAGACAGAGACAGAGATCGTGATAGAGATCGTGACAGAGACCGAAAATCACGATCACGAAGCCGATCCAGACGTAGGAGGTGATTGCGTTACGAACCTTAGTTACAAAATGTGAACCTGTTGGGTGAAACATTACATTTTTTATTTTATGAAGGTCACGTTCGAGAGACAGAGACCGTGACCGAAAACGGGATGACAGTAGAGATAAAATGACGGAGGAGGAACGTGAAAAACAGAGGGAACGCCGAAAACGGGGTTTACCGCCGATAGTTAGAGATAAACTTAGCGGTATGTATATGTTGACGGTTGGCTATGTTTCCATCCACCAGGCTCAATTAGTTACGTATAAGGTTTTTAAAAGAATAAACGTACGTGATTGATTCATCCTGTCTAGATCTACTACGGTAGAATGTAACCTTTGTCGCCAATTTATAATTTATTTAAAACATGTATGGTTGTTCTTTTTAGTATGCAGTACGACATTGTGGGTGGGTCATTTATCAAAATTAGTGCACCAAGAAGAATTGTCTGATACTTTTGGAGAATTTGGCGATATTGTTAGTATTGACCTAATTTCTCCAAGAGGTTGTGCTTTCATTTGTATGAACAGACGACAAGATGCATACCGTGCACTCACGAAACTTAAAAGTCACAAAATGCAAGGGAAAGCAATAACGGTGAGTGATTGTTCATTTTGTTTTTGTGTATATTAAATGAAATTGAAAAGCTGTACTTAGTATTTAAGTAATCCCAAGTTATTATTATTAATGAATATCAAGTTACTCTTTATCGTTACAGTTAGCTTGGGCTCCTGGTAAAGGTGTTAAAGGTAAAGAGTGGAAGGACTATTGGGAAGTGGAATTAGGCGTGAGTTATATTCCGTGGAATAAATTAAATAATGTAACGGATCAAGATCTTGAGTTACTAGAAGAAGGAGGAATGATAGATGAAGATACGTTGCCACCTCGATTGAGAGGTAATTTGACAATGATTATAATACATATGTTACACTTTGAAGAAGCAAGTTCAATCTAGTTGCATGTTACGTTTATAAAATCGTATGCAACTTGAACCAACTTGCTAAAGTAAACTTAAGCTTTTGAGCCAAGTAGAAAATTTTAATTTCTATTTGGTCAAGCAAGCTTGAAACAATTCGTTATCATTTAAGTAATGCGGTTGTTATATATTTCTAATATGAGATTTATTAATTGATTATTATATATTATGAAGGAAAACTAAAACATACTAGTGCCAATGCTGAAGCATTGCAACAACTGCAAATGCAACAACACGCTATGGCAGCTGCAGCTGCTGCAGGAGCTCCGATTCCTACGTTAACAGATGGTATGGTTAACGTTATGCAAACGACTGGTGGTAATCAGCAACAGCAACAGCAGCAACAACAACAGCAATTAGTTGATACAAGTCAACCACCTCCTATTCGGCCACCAACGACTGCACCATTGCTACCACCTCCAAATCCCCAGCTGCAAATGATGCCACCTGGATTTACAATGACTGGCGTACCCCGTGAGTGTTTTTCTTTTTCTTTTTCAATAACTAATCCCTTAACTGTTCTGTTAAATAGCGATAAAACATTGTTTCTTTTTAACACCTCCCGATGTCAACGGATTGTGCTTTCAAATTGTTATGTTATTGGTATTAACATGCAGTTCGAAAGAGTTAAAGTTTACTTAACCCAATAAAATTTTTGGTAAAATTATTAAAATTTTTTTTCATAAGAGAATGATACAAATGGTTACCGGTTTTATAACTAATCCTCCCAGTAGTTGTAGTCTTCGTTGCAGACATGATCAAACTAATAATTTTGTGACATTCACAATACTATGAAAAGTGAACGAAACAGGTATGATTGGACCAATGGGATTACCGATGCCTCATGGACTGATGCCAAATGTTCCAATTGGTGTACCACCACCCAATATGCAAGGACTTTTGGGACCACCAGGAATGATGCAGACTATGCTAACACCGCCTGTTAATTCTCCCTTCGGAGCTGGTGTTGGTGTAGGATTGCTGACGCAGATACCGCTTCCTGCTCCTGCTGCGCCATCAGATAAGCCCAATGCGACCGGTAAGTAGTTAAGAATGACCTGTATAAGTTTGATTTGAACTATGTTCGCTTATTATGATTATCATCTGTAGAGGCAGTTAAAGTCTGAAGTGAATATGCTATATTCAGATGTATCGTATGAATCATAGGTATGCCACATAATGTTCCGCCAATGGGAGTACCACCACCGACGTCTGAGACCAATTTGGCAAACTTGCCGATGTTAAGACAGCCGTTCGGCGTGGGTCCACCTCCATCAATGCAAATGCAAATGCCGCAACATCATTCGGAAGACATGGATGTAGAAATGGAAGACGCCATGCCACCGAGTGTGAACAATGTTCCTAAAGAGAAGGCAAATTTAAGTGATCAACTTCTGGGTGTTTTGGCTGCAGAAAACAGATTGGATAACGATCAGCAGAACAGAGATATCCGAGAAAGAGATCGGGATCGTGATAATAGAGATAGACGAGATCGAGGTGATCGGGATAGGAACGATCGTACCGACGGAAATGAATCCAGAGGTGGACGAGATCGAGGAAGAGGAAGAGATCGGGGTCGTGACAGGCGACGAGATGGTAGGGATGGTCGTGATAGAGATAGAGACGATCGGCGAGATCATGATAGAGATAGCCGTGATGGTAACATGAGACATCAGGACGGACCCATTTTGCAAAATCAGAATTCTATTACGGATGGTGATGGTATTGCTAAGAAGGACGGAAAACCTAGTCTAGCTGATAGGCTAAGACAGTTGGCTGATGGAACATTGCCATTGGACGATCGAATAGACAGAAATATTCGGAATGACAGAAATGATCGCGACAGGTGTGATAGAAACTTTGAGGATGGACCTGCTGCACGTCGACCTAATGACTTGCCCCCTTCCCTGATGGACTTACCAAAGTTCACAGCGGCTCCACAAGAGAGACCTGATTTCGCTCCTAGAGGACCGGACTTTAGAGGTGGTGATCTTAGGGATTATCCCCAAAGAGGTCCTGGAGATAGGGATCGGCAGTCGTTCGGCCCGAGAGGTCCTGTAGGACCACCAAGGGGTCCATTAGATGACTTTCCGGATCCCAGAATGCACGGTGGAAGATTTCCGGATGATTTCGATAATAGATTGGGGCCCAACGGACCACGTCCAGATGACTTTGATCCTCGTCTCGGACCCCCTAGGGAGGAATTCGACAGACCGGACGTGCGCGGGCGGCATTCGGTAGATGATTATGAACGAGAACGGTTTGAATATGAAATGCGACAACGAGATGGATTTGATCCACGGATACAAGACGGATTTGATCCGAGAGATCACCCAGATTTTGATCCCAGGAGAAGAGACTTTTTCGGAGGACCGCTGGAACCTGGATTTGGACCACCGCCTATGTTGGGTCCGAGAGGTCCAAGGGGTCCTATAGGCCCCGATGGTTTTGGTCCAAGGGGTCCTGGATTAGGTTCTCGAGGTCATGGTAAGGATTTACGAATTTTTTAAATATTTAGTAATTCCGAATTTATTTTTCCTTTACTTCATTAAAATCGATAGATTCTGGTAGCATAAAGAGTAAAATCGTATGTCAGTCATTCTGTAATTCTATATCAGTATTTGAGGTTACTTGTGCAAATTTGCAATATAATTCATTACGTGAAAAGAAAAATTAACAATTTTGTAGTGTTCTGCATCATTCTTATGTGTACTGTAGGTCCACCAATGTTCCACCCACGAGGAATGGGTCCGAGGGGTATGAGACCTGGAATGAGGCCACCCTTTGGTCCGCGAGGCCCTTCATTTGATCCGCGAGAGGGTGATTCATTCTTCCGGCCACCATTTGATGATGGACGTGGTCCTCCAGGACCGCATATGAGGCCACCCTATGGATCCATGGGTTGTCCACCCATTATTGGTCCTGATGGTCCATGGAGAAATCAAGAAAATGGACCGCCGCCATTAGGACCATGGCCATCCGCTGATGCTGGAAATGGTCTTGAAGTGGATGACCTTAACCAGAGGGAGAATATCCAAAGGGAAAATCAAAAAGGTTCTAATAAATCGCAGGATCACAAAAGTAGTGGATCAGAGCGCGAAAGTCGTAATCGAAGCAGAAAATCGCGATGGGGCAACGTAAGTCCACCACCTGTAGAACATGGCGACGAGAGAACACCTGGTGATGATGGTGAAGAAAGTAAAAAAATGTTGGATGATCAGAAATATGATGAAAACAATGAAAGCTCAGAGAACTTTCACGAAATCCCAGAGCGTAATTCCGAATTCGAACTACCTGTACAAAATAAGCAAAACGATAATAACATAACGGCTACCGAACATCAGTCTCAAGCTAATCAGGAAAAAGAAACAGAATTCGAAGAGACACGTGGGAATGAGTGTAAGGCATTGGTTATGACGGATGAGAGTCATATAGAACAAAAAGAGAATTATTCGTTCGAGAAACAGGAGAGTCCGTTCTGTGAACACGAGCCGGAAGAAAATCCATTTAATCCGGAAATCCAAAGTAAATACAATGAATCCATTCCGATAATAGAGCCAGAACCGTTGATAGAGGAGAAAAGCGAAAATATGGAGTATCAAAGTGAAAATCAGAAGGAACCAGCGGTGGCAACCGAGCTCCAAGAAGAGCCGTCGCAAGAGGTCTGATATCTTGATGAGAGTGACTAAAGTAATGATAAATGGATCTCCGTGGAGACTCGTGTAAAATATGGTCCCGATACGGTACAGTGTATATAGATCGATGTAACTAAACAGGAAGTGAAAACAATTTGGACGTTTGGACTTGGAGTGCTGGACTCCAGAGTGGTGGGGGAGCTGTGGGTTCAGTGAGTTTTTATTAGAAATTCTCTTAAGCACTCGATCGGATCGTTTAAGTTTTCGAAACTTCCCTCTTGAATGATAAATGCTGCTTAAACATTGCTGTGATAGTGAACACAGGACCTATTATCTACCTATGTACCTAGACGAAGATGACTCAAACCAAATCGAAATTAACTTTTTTAACTAGATACAATATTAATTACAAAGTAGAATTATGCTTAAAAAAGAAAGTCTTAATTATTTTGCCAGTTGAGAATAGTCAGTTCTTCATAGCTTTACTAAAGAATCTTTAAACTTTATTTCCAATCAAACGTCAGGTATTGTACAGCGAGAGTATTGTACCTAAATATCCTAAATAATTATTAATTTATTGAATTGTACATATTTTTATATTTTCCTAGCAGAACGAATAGTTGAATATATTGTGCAAATCGTTGCTCAATCGAAGAGAGGAAATAAATATTTTATACATATCATTTTTGACAAAACAAAATATCATGGCGTTCTCATTCCAATTTGTGCATAGCTCCCAGGTTACAACAATTGTTATACAAGTTTCTGAGAGTCATGTCAGTCTATCTTCTCTCATACAATTCACGGTATATTATCTCGCTAGAAACACAAATCTCCTCAGAGTATAGTTAACGAGCATAAAAACGATTCAGCCACTGACGTTTAGATTATTTAATTTCATTGAATGACGATTTAACTTATTTCTTATTACTCTTTAAAATTCCATTTCGACAGCACTTTCAATTCCATCACTAATATTACCGAACATTGCCAATATCTGTATTCTATTCTAAATCATTTTGCGAATAACGATTGTAGGCGTCGTAGGGTATTTAATACTTGAAATTCGTTTAATTACGAAGGGATGAGGTCATGTTAATTACACTTAAAAATTAGAAAAATGTAAATTTATCAAGTAGTCCGTTAAAAAGGTGAGAATTCTAGTTTCTCGGGACGAATGGAATAAGGTGGATTCCATTCGTACATCTCTCAGTTCCTGTGTTCACGCACGCACGTTTCTCGCACGTCGCAGCGCTGGAGGACTCGCGCTTGCGCTCAAACTGAGTGACAAGTGCAAGGTACTGTTCACATTACATTCATAAATTAGCAGAGGAAAGTGACCACTTGCGTTTATATGCCGAAAAAGTTAAAACGTTTTGAAACCACACCAGCCCGCACCACTCCAAGACAAAAAGAGCTCCAACGAATCAATTCTCGAGATCGACAAAATAAAACAATTTACCAATTGTATTAGTTGTAATGGAATAGGTCCGTATTTATAAGCGTGTTGTCATGTAAAAATCGCGCTTATGCAAAACCAACAACAACAAACAGCGTACTTTGTAATGTTCGAGGCGATCACTTTAGACATACTTCTAGTAGCGAAGAGAGTTTTCGTCTTTCGCAAATTCATTATGAAAAATTATTAACGAATCAACTTAAGTTTCGCTAACGGAGAGTTATACTTTTAAGCGACAACCATGTGAACGGCATAAGGCAATTCTTTACTTTTTTTTCCTCATTTTACTTACAACAAACATGTTTTCACGTGAGTTTAAATTAATTTTCGGGAAGAAGTTTACTCCATGCCTTATGTACTGGCCATGTTCAATAATAGCTAAGCGGTTGGACTATCTTACCGAAAATTATTTTAAACAATTGCATTTACGCGATACGAATTCGTAGTTATGATTACATGACATTTTATTGTATCACGTACCATTATATTGTCAATCGGAGGATGCGATTCTTTTTTGGTATTTAGTGTCAGAGAAAATTCATTTAAATATGGGCCTGTTCTGTTCTGATCTGTTGAAGAAAAAAAAAATGTAACCCTACCAATTGACCTTGTACTTGAAGATATGCTTCGTAAAGATATTTGCTTCAATAATTTTTCTTTTTATGTAATCATACTGAACTATCGGTTATCACTTTTGCTTCTTTTCAATTTCTTTCAGGATTAGATTTATTAGATTTCATATTTTATGCGTAATTCAATATAAACATGAATTGATTTGTTTTCAGACTTCAAGGATTTTGTGGATTAATTAGGGAGTGGTGCGTGGTAGTGCATTTCAAGATTGGATTCATATTGTCTAAATATTGTTTTTTTTCTCTTCAATTTAAAGTCAATCCACATTTATGTATCACAATATTTTTTACAAGATATGCATTCGTTTTTATCATTAAACAAATGTGCATTGTATTTGATATACTTATCATCTAACAATGCATTACATAAAATACATATATTAGATTTAAAGTGAAGAATATAGTTTATTTGGAGAATATTTTTTTTCGGAAGATAAATATAATTTGCATTATTTATACTGTATTGATATAAATGAACACGAATGATAATATGAATCCAATTCTTTAACAAATTAATGGAATCTTATTCAACGAATATCTTCCATGGTACTATTAAATTCATTTAATCACAAGAGAATACTTATGACAGTTTTATCACAGTGATGAACTAAAGATTGGTGTCAATAATTTAACACCGCGTAGACACCTTTTTCATTAATTATTATTGACACATTAATATTCATGAATTGTTTATCCTCCAGTTATGTCAATGCATAACACACTCGATAATGGAACTCGGCAATGGCAATAATAACGGTTTCCATATTGATCATTCGCGATGCTCACTGAGCTCATTGAATTACATCTGCGGTTTTGTGCAACAATGGCGAACAATTTAAGATATATTTTTTCTAGTATGAAATGACAATATGAACTGACACGACTGCTAACGGCTCTTCCATTAATTATGGCCGGATTTCCGAGTTTCATTGCACGTCCAGGAATCTGTTGACAAAGCCATATGCTAATGGCAATTGAAGTAATGGGATCTTATGAAAAAAGAAAATATCTAAACGATTCATTTTGTATCACCATGAGGTTGTAGCTTTAGGATTTCACGAGTGTTAACTTTTAATATCCAAGAATCTTATTCATGTATGCATCAGTTTAATAGATTAACAGGAATTCAAATGATAATTCAATACCTCGGTGGTCTTTATACATAAGAGTTCGTCATTAATCTTGTGAGGGATTGACATGAGGGATAACAAGCAATTAATTTAATTTTTTCTATTATTCGAGTAATATTCATGAGTCGCTAGATAAAATGTGGCAGACAACGATACGAGCATGTGATTGGATGAGATGCGAATAAAATATTATCTTGAGTCGTCGTTTGATAGAAAATATTGCTAGCAAAATGGATGGACATAAGGATCCTGTTGCATATTTTTAATTTCTATGGCTGATGCCACTTTCGTATGTTATATCGTCTTCAATCATAGACATCCGTATGGCGTGAAGTCGAAGACTCGGATGATCAATGTGTAGAGAGACTAGGAATAGAAATATTGCTGGATTAAAATGTTGAGTTAATATTATTTTAATATTCAATTAGATTATTCGTGTATTCAATTAGTTTGGATATATTGCACTTATGCTATTATTATTGTAACATTATTCTACATAAATGATACACTGTAATCCTTAAAGTTATAAGAATAAAGATATAAAATGCGAACCGTTGCTGTTAGTTTTCGGGGATTTAAGCAATAGGATTTCTTCGAGTTTGATGTAAAATTTATATTTACAAAAATGGGAATTTACGTTTACATAGTATCACAAGTAAAGTCAAAGTCAGTTACGTGTGGTAAATCATAAATCGTTTTATTATATTTTGTTTAAATTTTTTATTATCGTTTATACTTTACCAAGGTAATTTGTGTCGTTTTATACATCACAATTTATATATTTTTCTTTTGCCAGAGGCAGGAATTCAACATAAAGTTTAAGGAACACAAATTGTTCCTAAAATATTCGCATCTTAAAAAAGTTAAGGTACATAACAAAATTCATGAAGAGTGACATACAAATAAATAAGACTATTATTAATATGATAAACGATCATTAAAACAATTAAAATTTAACATACCCCAAAGTAATTTTATAACGAATGCGCTGCTATTAAAACTTAGACAAAATCACTTCCATACGTTCTTAATATCTATCAATTTTCACATTCAAATAAAAATGTGCAAAGTTCAAGATTCTGCAACATGAAACATTGTACGGTTACGTTAAATTGCACGTTATGAAGAAGCAAGTTATATACAAATTCAATGCCAAGTTATACTATGCTAAACACAATAGATGGAAATTGTAACATCAGAAGTAAATCTTTTGTAGATATGACATGTTTACAGCAAGTTTTGCATTCACTCATTACTTGTATTAAATAATCGCACAAATAAGCTAATATGTGTTGTACGGAATTTCTAGTAATAATAAAGTACAATGTCTTACACGACTTTGCCAACTTACATTCGGAATTCCTATTAAGCATAATAACACTTGTATCGAGATTAATGAATCGATCAAGAGTTACTATCTCCTGCCATCATTCTCAAATCGGTTTCTTAATGCAGCATTCGCGTTTCGTTGTGACCGAGATGCCAATTGAAGTCTAGCACTCCGTTGAAACAAAATTGAATTTCGATCAGCAGGACTAGCATTAATCAATGCGGAATCTCTAGCTAGTGCTGACATCGCTTCCGATTGTCCTGTTACTTGAGATTGTAAAGTATTCACTAAATTTCCCGAATTAGTATCATGCTCATTACTAGTAACCAAATTGGAATCATCAGCAGTAATATTTTCAGGGTGATTTGTTCTGGTCGGTCGAAGTGATGAATTTCGTTCAGTGCTGTACCTGGAGTGCCTATTGTCTCCATTTAAAGCATTCATTACGGATTCGATAGCTCTGCTTAGGTTTGAATCAGAATTTGTGCGTCTAACTTCGGTAAGATTAGAACTGCTTCTATGCACGGACGAATGTCTAATATTTGTGGAATAGGGTGTGTGTCTATTATGTGCAAGAGTTGATCTACGAGATAGAATTTCCCTGCGACGTTCACTTAGTCCGGTTGTGTTCGACATGAGACTAGCTAAACCATTTTGAACATTTAATTCCCTTTCGATGTTATCCATTCTGTTTTGCTGCATTCTGATTCTAAATGAAATCAGCCTATCCACTATGGCCTCCCTGAACCGATTCTGTTGACTTTGTTGTGTAAGATCAGGTACCGATCTGTTTAACTCTCCAGAGGGTCTGTTTATATCTGTAGGAGCTCTGGTGTTGCTTCCCGTTGATAATGATGAGCGTGATTGCATTGCAGTCATAAAATTTGGCCTATTTTGTGATTCTGAATTTCTTACAACTTGTGCTACTGCACCCAACAGTCTATTTTGTGATAATTCAGTGGCCAATGGCTGATGAGCTTCTATAGAATGTATATTTCCTTCTACTACGTTTGGATTCGCTCCTCTATTCTGATTGACTGGAGCTGTTGAAAATTATTTGTTTGTTAAATTATAATTTGTTGACATTACACATTTTATAATAAATTATCCAGAAAGATTCTTACCGATGGCTTGATGCATTGTCAATGCATGCGTTGAACTGTTCCCCGAAAACATTCTTCTACTCAAAGGGCTCTCTGTGGCATTGAGGCTTCTACTAAGTCTCAGTAATCGTGATCTACTGTTTTCAAACAGCTCTCTAAGCGATCTAGCAGATCGCGCAGCTATATCAATGTTATAGATATCGGTTCTTGCAACAGAAGAATTATTTAAAGGACCATTAGCGTTTGGAGTGCTCGATGTTGTTGGATTTGATATGCCCTGTGGCTGTACATGCCCAATCGTATCATCAGGAAATGAGGGAGGATCACTTAAGGCATTAGGAAGAGTATTAGGTTCTCCAATTCGATCACTCCTCGATTGTGAGGCCTGCAATGTACCAGAAAATAGATTTCACAATGGTATTGGTTAGTTTTAAATATTTAATCTATTTTGTATTTACATGGTTAGCCGCTGTTTGCCGATTTCTAGAAGCTCCTCGTACACGTAATAAAATACCATCACTTCTATTATGAGAATGACCCTGTTGTCTCTGAACATCTCGTGGTATCAGATGTTTAAATCTATCTAATTCTGCTGCCGTTAATTCTCTAGGATCAGAATCTACTCTATGAACAGGTATTTGACCGTAAAGTCTCGGTGGTGTTACGAGTGGACTTTGTTGTTGCTTCAGTATTTGCTGCATTTGTTCCTTTTAAAGCAATTGAAACAAGAAATAAGTAGGCTACTGATGCAGTGTTACGATTTTATCAAATGACTTATGACATATGGTTGTACGGCTTATATCATATTTTACCTGAAGTGTAACTTGTTTGAAGAAATCCCCAGAGAATTTTCCTATCTTTTTCTCGTCCTCCTTTTTATCGACCTTCTTATTATCACAGCATTCCTCTTTAAATTGATCAATGTCGGGAACGATTTGTTCCTCTTCGCCAATGATTGTAGGAACTTTGAATGTTGCGATTATGGCAGATAACGAGTCAAGGACTTCAACCGCTGTTAAACGGCGACTTGGTTCTAGGACTAGGAGATTCCGTATCAGGGATGTAGTCCCTTCCGATACTCGACCATCGCTAAATATGAAGTATATAATTATGACATAATAATAAATCAATTGAGTACATAGTTACTATACATATACTAATCTATATGCATACTTTGGTATATGATAATTTGTGGCTTTTATTTTATTGAAAAGCTGTGTAGGACTGCTATCATAAAATGGGAATTGACCATACAGCATAGTAAATAGTACAACGCCTAATGCCCACATATCAGATGGTTTTCCTAAATAAGGTTTGCCGCACAATACATCAGGTGAAATGTATGCAGGGGATCCACGTTGATCTTTTAATAAATCAGTTTCACTAGCCAAGTGTTTTCCCAAACAAAAATTTGTAATTGTGACCTAGTGATTAAATTGTTTAGTTAAACTATTTAAAGTATGGTATTCAATATACAAACTCACTTTTCTTGTTCTACGGTTTAAAACCAAATTTCCTAATTTCAAGTCTCTGTGAACAATATTTCTCTTATGCAAGCATGCTACAATCCTTACGGTATCGGTGAATATTAATAAAGTCTCTTTTTCTGATAATTTTTTCTCTCTAATAACATGATGTTGTAAGTTAAGTAATTCATCGTTTCGTGGATTGAAATCATGAGCAGTTAGGCAATCGAGTACTAGGCATAGGCGTCTCTTAATTCTTCCAGTATAAACAACACCAGATACGCTGTTTTTCTCCTCTAATGCACAGTCCTAGAATAATGAGGCATATATATATATATTAGGGATATTATGACACTCAGTAGATCTGTTGAGTTTAACAACGGTATAAATACTTTGAAAAATCCATGGTGATGAATAACGCCGTCCTGTGTTTGTAATAGGCTCAATACAGAATACTCTGCATGTAACAACATCTTTCCTTGTCTATCATCTTGTGTCTCATATTCATTATCATCTTTGAATGTTAAAATTTTTATAGTGTAGAACTTATCTGTACCAGCCTTTCTGGCTAGGCACTGTACAATACTTTTTACCGGAGAAGTACCAATCAATGGGCCTAATAAATAAGGTCCTGCTTTTTTCACCATTTTTGGTGAAACTGGTGTACCCGGTTTGGGCACTTGAAAATTTGCAGTTTGCTCTTCTTTTGATGTTGATGGTTTGGAAAAACTATCCCACACATCACTCGGGATACGCTGTATGTTGTTTTCCCATAAGGTTATCTTATTTTCATGGGATTTCATATCTGGCACCTCCTGTGCTTCATCTACTTTATGTGTTTTAAAGTCTGGTACAATGCATGCTGCCCTGTTATTTTCTGTTTCCTCAGTACAGTTATTTTCTATTCCATTTGAGCATCCCTTGCTAGTTGATACACCAACATAGGGACCTTCAGGTGAGTTTTGCACTAAAAGCATTGAATTTGATTCCAAATCACTTGTTTGGGCTAAACTTATTGTTTCGTTCAATTGTGCCTCTGGTGATAATGCATCACTTTCATGGCTTGATGCTATGATAGTGTTATCTGGTTCATTGATATTATATTGGTTAATTTCACCAGTAGTGTCCGAGGAGTCTTCAATACCCTCATTTTGCATAGAATCATCTAAATTATTACTAGGTATCAGTGCGTTATTATCACTTTGGTTCGTATCCATGTGCTCATAACTATCAGTCACAGAATTAGTCCTTATACTAGATGATCCAGGAATATTCTCAATGTTATATCTCATTGCTAAAATATACAATATAGTATATTATGTAACATCAACAATGGATGTATGGTCTTTGTTAAATGAAGAATGTATGAAACAAGGATAACATTACATTCTGTACTCCAATTTTGTGAAGGTCAGCGAATCATTAATGAAAATAATTTAACAAATATCTAAAGAAGCAAGTTTTAAATTATACTAGAATTCAATTTAATTATATATTTATTAATAATCAGGAACAATAAGATTTGTTGTATCTTCTTTAAAATGATTGTTTTTCAAACATGTTCAAATAATTTTGTAACACAATTAATTTTATTAATACGATATTGAGCATTCATTCATAGAATGATTATGCATAATAAAGGTTACGCACAGGAAATTAAAATTACAAGGTTAAAAGTTATGCACAGGAAAACAATATTGAGGTTACTTCAACGAGAGGTTAAGTTCATGAAAACCTCAATATTCACTTTCCAATTGTCAAGAACAGCTACAATTATAAAACCAACAATGCAAATATATTTATGTAATACCTGCATATTTATATGAATATTATCCACTAATCACAATACTCAAAAGACCTCAGTTTGATAAATATATATTTATATATATATATATACAACTCCGTACAAAAGTAATAGAAAACGTTCGTCACTTTCTCAAGACCACTCATCAAGGTTCGATTGTCAAATGTTTTGAGCGGAGAAACTCAGGTAGGTATTATAAGTCTGTACAATTATTCATTTGCACTGTAAAACGTTTAAATATCATGCAAAAACTGTACTAAAATCAGGTAATCAACTAGTGTTATCATGTTAACTTGAAAAAATATTACATGAGTGGATGAAACGAGGTGAAACATCACGCTGACGAAATAAACAGGAATGAGCGCGACGTGACGATTCTGAAAAATATGCGTCATTACATAAGTTGCTTACTGTAAATTGCATACTCCGTAGTTATAGTCTTTTTCAATGCTTCACTATTCTGGAAATTGTCTAAGAAAATTACATAATACCTTCAATGCATAATGTATAGAATGATACAATTTTCACAAGAGAGAACATATGTTTCTTCTTGTCAAATAGAACACTTTATTGCGTATGTATAAGCAAATTTGATTATTGTGCTATATATGAAAATAATTAAAGAATCGATAAAGAATTTTTCATTACTGACGCACAATATTACATGCTTAGCCACTCATTCTGTCTCAATGAAATTACAAGATACATTAAACCTAAGGTTAACGAAATGAAGTAGATTCAAGCCCCTAATTCATTGTTGCAAATATACAATTAGTTTTAACAGTGCAAACAGCTGGCGGAGGAAACAGTTAGTTAGCGATTATGTTTCCATATAATGAGGTAGGTAACATTGAAGAAACACAGTATACTGATGATCAGTTGAGTATTTGAAATGTTATACCGGGTGATCCAGATAAAGGTAGCTGCCGTAGGTAACATATTCGACTGATGTAAATACTTTTAGTTGGACTATGCGGTAGAGCGATTTTAGTCTACTATATAATGATTGTATTAGATAAATAAATTTGTCCAAATGGCTTTTCTATATTTAAGAGATTAAACAAATTATTTTTTCGATAAAAGTAGAAGGAAGGAATGTCCAATCATTATTTGTGGATTAGTAAAGCAGGCATGTATATAGAGTAAAATTCCAAAGTAACAATATAAATTAAGACTATAAATAGGATTATTTAGGATTTGATATCACAGGAAGATGGCTTTACAATAGAAATAAACACACCGATTAATTTCACCTTTTGCAAACTTTTGAATCACCCTATATGTATATATGTAAAACGGATATTTAAAGGGTTCTTTAGTATAGCCGAGTAATAATGTTGAGGATCAGTCGAGGCAATTTAACCAATCATGTAACAAAATCTCAATGATAAAATAGAGTTACTATTATGGTAGATTACTGCTATACCATACGTTGTATATTACAGTCGTATGATACAATCATTTCACGTTATGTTAGCTCTCTAAAAGATTTTCTTAAGACATGTTACGTACTATATTTCATGCTTAAAAAAAAGAAATGCACCTTCCACTTCTGAGCAGCTTATAACTTGCAATGCACTGGACATATACAGGCGGAGCTTGTACTATGGCGTTTCACTGATAAAAATATAGGAGGCACGAGTCTAGAAACATGATCCAAGAGGTCACGTTATGTTATATCCCTTTTGAAGGATTTCAGATTACCATAAAACAACGTATATATATTTCACTTCGGTATAACTCTTTTATCGAGTATACTGATATTTCAGGCAATTCTGTAAAACTTAATAATCGTCACCGGGAAGTAAAAAATTCTAGGTATCTTCAGTTACCTGATAATTATGTATAATCGTATATTTCAAGTTATTGGTTTCATAATTCTGTCGATAAGGGTGAAGGGAAGGGGCGAGAGGGGGGGGGGGGGTTAAACATATAAGGGTAGGGTAGCTGAGAGAGTAAGTACTGCGCAGTGATTAAAGGGTTAGTCCATACCATCACTACTCGGAAGTACTCGTGAGGCTGCGAAGCTCTAATAATAATTAATCTCTAACTACTAACAGCATAACTCTAGTTTTCGATAATGGCGCGCTCAATTACGTGCTTCCTTAATTAATAACACCGTAGATACTCTGACTGCGATGTACGTGAGCAAACAAGAGATAGTCTTGCTGATTAAATCGCATCTGTACGTCGACGTTCTCGTATCGAAGTTTCCTTTAACAGTGTAGGCGCAATATCTTGAGCAAGCTTTAATTCTCAATTGCGAATTGCAATACAAGAAAAAGTACAATATCGGCAAAGTCATCGAATCGATGAACTCTCGTGTTTAATGATATTTGATCGAGAGATACCACGTTTAATAAACATTTTCTCTGCGTTGGGATCGTATTAAGTTCCCAGAGGTGTTCTTGGAAATTGCATTAGAGATGCTATAAGCATTTGAAGCTTTGTCTGGCGCCTAGTTTTCGGAGTACCTCTTCTCTGTACATCATCGCGTGAGACTAAAGCGAATCAATGGAACACTAAACACATCGTAACTGCGAAAATATCAGTGACAATTCTACATTTTATATGATACTGCCGATGTAGATACAATACTAGAAGAAAAGTCTATTTTCTTCGAATCGAATTCAAGCGACGCGCCTCTTTTTTTTGGTCGCTCTACGTCACGATATTTGACGGTTAGATAGACGTGGCGACCCTGGCGGTCTCGCCGCTCAACGTTTTCTTTCCTTCCATCTTGTTATTTCAGGATGCTTGCTCCAGAAGGCACGACGGGATTCTACGAGAAACCAAGAAAGACTACAGTGTTTGCTGGTAAAGTTTGCACGAACATTTTAATTCCTCCTACGTCTGGTGACTTTTCTTAGACATCTTCACCGTTTACCCTTAGGATGGCAGCCTTGGAGGTTAGTAATTTTTATTAGAAGTTCAAGCTCGTCGAGAGTAGTATACACACGAGTGTTCAACGTGCTCGGTAAAGTTTTCGTTTAATTGACTCGGTGGATTGCGAGTTATCAATTACTGCATGGTTATTAATCGAACCACCATATATGACCGATAAGTTAAATAGCTATGCCGGACATGCGATCTGTTTGTTTCAAGTATTAAACCATAAAGCACTACGTAATCTCGAGCACAGTTGATGGGTTATAGGGACGTACATATATGATCCTACAAGTTATGAAGGTGAGAATATCTCGTAGAATAAATCTCTATTCTGCATATATGATATATTATATGTATATACTATAGTATACATATGTAAACATCTCCTAGCTATATATGTATACAGGTATGGTTTATAACGTGGATAGGGACAAAGGTGTTTGGTTGCAGAACGTAGTGAAATTCTCTTATCGTTACAAAACCATTCGCTTCTCTAATGAAGCCGCATCGTGACGGGCCTAGTCATCGGTGTTTGCGTAAAAAACATTGTAGAATAATCGTTGATACACATAACTTATGCAGATCTATCGGAGAATATTACGTGCCGTTGACGAATATGGTCTAGTGTTGTAGATATAAGATGTGTATTTTGAGTAAAGTCCTTTTAAGGTAGCTACTGCACTGCACACTAGTCAAATGACTATTGTTTAACCGGTTAAGTGAAATTCTTTTTAAACAAACTGCTGTAATTTTTAAACGGTCAATACTACAAACATTTTGCATGGCGAATTCGCGGAGAAACTTTTGAAAAACAGAATGAGTTCTGCAGCATTAAAGTCGGTACAAAATACGATTTATTCTTTGAAAAAGCTCGACGAAAATGTACCTCCATGGAAATTAGCATTGCTCACGTAATGCTTTAGCAAACACATTGCTATCAATGTTTCTCCAGGTTAAGAACTCGTGCTGTAATACAAATCGCCTTCCACTACTGTCAATTAATACATTTAACGTTGTAAAATTCATCGTAAAAATTTAGTCCTCATTTGACTAATGTGCAGCGCAGTAGCTACTTTCAATTCCTATGTCTCCATCAGTGCTAGTTCAATATTTTCAAAAGCTTTTAAATTCTAATCGACGTTCCAATCAGCATGTCGCGTGTATTCTGTCGAGTTGACGAGGTGCGTTGAAAAACTATTGATACCAGCTGATGAATATATTTGAGTATTTTTGAATTACAAGAAAAATACATCAGAATTAATTCTAGCGGGTTATTATAACCGTATTTATAAGATGGACGATGTGATCAGAATTGTTTTACCACTCAATCTGCACTTCCTTCTCATTCTTTGTGATTCGGTACGTTTGTCAGAGGACGAAAACTCGATACATACAGTATTATGAAAGGCTTGGATTTGAACTGGGATACTATTCCAGCCTTACTCAAAGCTCAATCCGTCGTAAAGCTCTGCTTCGCAGTGAGGCACAACGTGATCAGCACGACCCACTTTAGGTTCGCACAGGGAGTTGCTTGTAGACAGTTCACTCCGTACGAATTATAGTACCCCGCTGATTAAAAGAAATCCACTTGTGTGCATTGATTAACGCGGTCCCATTAGGGGCCGCTGATTACCCTGGAAAATAGATGAATTGCGGTAATATCGTGGAAAACAAAAGATCCCTAACAAATTTCCTATATCATAGACCTCGTGTCTAACGTTATCGCATATTATTAACCATGCTTGTGCTACATACCCAAATGTTAGCAACAATTTATGTAGGATTACGTAGCTTACAGAATGTAAACAGGTCGGAATAATAATAGTGTCCTGCGACCAAATGGAAACCCGTTGTTGTGTCGGCACATTATAAAACTAGCCACTCTCATCAGGAATCGCTATCCGATTTCCGCAGTATGCAAATGTGCCAGCATCCGTTTCGTTTGGTGTAATCAGAGAAGCTCACCGTATTGGTAGGTATATTCACCATTCTCGAAATGTACAGGACGATTTGTTGATACGAAAAGGTGGTACACATATATGTGTATATATACACAGAGAAGGGCTGTATATATTTGCAATGAGAATATGGCCTGTGGCTATGGACGATTGGGGAGGAGAAATACGTAGACAACGTGGAGGATTCCAACAATGAACGAAGAGTGGGCGCCGGGACTATGGTTCGGGGATCAAAGCCCGTATTTCGAAATATATTACTTTTATCTTCTGCCGGCTGTATACCGCCTTGTCTACCTCCGCGGCCGAGCCCGGTCGGTTGGTATTGCGGAATGTAAAGGAGCGAAGGAATTTACGGATGATTGCTCGCAAGAACCCAGCACTGGCCTAGACGTCAGCGAACCAAGAAATTCCATTGTTGGGAAAAAAATCAGAACTGGCATTCGCCGCTCTGCCTCTCGTCGTCTTAGTTCCCGATTTACAGCTACGCCAGGGAGAAAACAAATGAGACTAGGAGCT